TCTGCTCCTGGTGTTCAGTGCGTGACATAGTGACCAGTCTTTCTGTCTTTCAGTCGATTTGCATATTAGCCTTTTATTATAGAGGACTAGAGGCCCGGTGCATGAAATTTGTGCATGGGAGTGTGTGTTTCTCAGACCAGCCTGCACCCTCTCCAATCTGGGACCCCTTGAAAGGTGTGCGAATGCCTGTTCATTTGGTCATCTCTCTTACAATCCAGGATTGTTGGCTCCTGACCGCTCGCCTGCCTGCCTTCCTGAATGCCCCTAATTGCTTCTGCCTGCCAGCCTGATCACCCCCTAACCACTCCCCTGCCAGCCTGGTCACCCCTAACTGTCCTCCCCTGCAGGCTTGGTCACCCCTAACTGCCCTCCCCTGCAGGCCTGGCCACTCCTAACTGCCCTTCCCTGCAGGCCTGGTCTCCCAACTGCTCTCCCTTGCAGGCCTGGATCCCCCGCAACTGCCCTTTCCTGCAGGCTCGGTCGCCCCCAATATCCCTCTTCTGCTGGCCTGGTCACCCACAACTGCCCTCCCTTGCAGGCCTGTTTCCTTCCAACTGTCCTCCCCTGCTGGCCATCTTGTGGTGGCCATTTTGTGTCCACATGGGACAGTCATCTTGTGTGTTGGAGTGATGGTTAATTTGCATATTACTCTTTTATAAGATAGGATAGAGGCCTAGTGCATGGGTGGGGGCCAGCTGGTTTTCCTTGAAGGGTGTCCTGGATCAGAGTGGAGGTTCCCTTGGGATGTGGGCGGCCTGGGCGAGGGGCCTATGGTGGTTTGCAGGCCAGCCACACCCCTGGTGACCCAAGTGGATCCTGGTATCTGGAATTTATTTATCTTCTACAATTGAAACTTTGTAGCCTGGAGCAGAGCCAAGCTCCTGCTTGTTCCTTGGCTGCCACCATTTTTGTTGGGATTTACTTATCTTCTGTAATTGAAACTTTGTAGCCTTGAGTGAAGTCCAAGGGTGTGTGGAAAGTTTGCCTCCTGCTTGCTCCGGCTGCAGGCATCTTGATTGGGTTAATTTGCATACTCACTCTTGATTGACTGGTGGGCGTGACTTGTGGGTTTAGTGGATATGTGGTCAATTTGCATACTCTTTTATTAGATAGTATTATTATATAGGATACTTTAGCATGGTATTACTTTTATATTTAACATTTTTAAATTTTTCCTTTAAAGATTTAAATTATTTATAGTAATAAATTAAGGAATTATTTTCTGCTCTATCTTAAATTCTTTCATGTAGGATTTGAGTGATTCACCAATAAGTAGTTCATTTCTCAGGTATTATGAAGACACTGAAAACATGACAATGACAAAATTTTATTAGAGCCTCAGCAGATTGAGATGAATGGAATTTGAATTTTGCTATATACTATGTGTTCCAGTTTTAACATTTTTATTTTTTTAAAGTATATTTTTATTGATTTCATAGAGGGAGTGAGAGACAGAAACATCAATGATGAAAGAGTCATTGATGTGCTGTCTTCTGCACACCCCACTCGGGAAATGTAGCTTACAATCTGGACATGTGCCCTAACCTCAAGAATTGAACTATGACCTCCTGGTTCATGGTCGGTGCTCAACCAATAAGCCACACTGGCTGGGCTAGTTTAAAATTTTTAAACTACTTGAGGCTTTCCTTTATGTCAGCCAACTCCCAAACACTTTATTTCTGGTTCAAATCAGTACTTTAAGGGTGAATGATTTTTATAAGGACTGTCAAATTATAAAACTTATAGACTTAAAATGGAAACGGAGCTAGGAAGATGAGGAATCATCTAATTCTACACTATCATTTCCAAATGGGGAATTGAATGGTTAAAAACTAGTTAGATTTAGGACTCTGACTTTCAGTGTACTTTGAAATAGGAATAGACAATGCTGATTTGGGATTTTTCATATCTGTCTGGCACATGGAAGTTTCCCCTGTACATATAGTAAACTCATTGATGTTCCTCCAAATAATCGTTTAGTAATTTTTACTCTATAATTTGAAGTATCACTGCACTAGTGGCTTGGTGCACGAAATTTGTGCACATTAAAAGGAAATAGAAGAAATATTTTAATATTGCTATTTGCCCTTTCTCTATAATAGAAGTATCAGAGATGAAAGAAAATTAGTAAAACTTATATGAAAATATCCTTCCTGTCAGAGTTTGGGGTCAAATCCTTGCCCAACTGCACGCACCTTGAAATCATGTGAGACCCAGACCTGGCTGACTCCACCCTTGTCAAGCTCCACACGGTGGGGAGTGCAGCCTCAGGTTGTCCTGCCTTTCACCTTGCAGGGGCGCAGCCTCAGGTCCCCCTGCCTCTGTGTGAGGGCACAATGACAATTTGCATATTAGCTCTTTATTATATAGAATAGTAATATCAATCTTTTAAAACTTTGCTGTTCTGATAGGTAAAAAAAAAAATAGTAGCTCATAGTTTTAATTTGCATTTCTTTTGTGTGATGTAAACCTTTTTTCTGTTGTTGTTAATCCTCACTTGAGGGAGGGAGTGAAGGAGATAGATAAATAGATAGATAATCATTGATGTGAAAGAGACATTTCCATTGGTTGCCTCCCATACCAGGGCTGGGGATTGAACCTGCCACCCAACTATACGTCTTTTACCAGGAATCAAACCCTATACCCTTCAGTACTTGGGCTGATGCTCTAATCACTGAACAACACTGGATTTTCTTTTTAAAAATCCATTTACGTTTCTCTTTTTAGAGAAATGTGGTCATGTTTTTTTTACTTTTATTCTGTTGGTCTCCTAATGATTTGTAGAGACTCTAAAGGAAGATTTTCCTCCTTGTTTTGTCTTTAAAATGTTTTTCCTGTAGGTTTTAAACTGATTGCATTTATTGTTTTTTTTGTTTATAACTTATTTTATTTTTTTCATTATTTATCCCCCTTATATCCTCTTCCACCTCCACCCATCCTCCCCCCTTTGAAATCACCACACTGTTATCCATGTCCACAAGTTCTTTCTCTTTTTTTTTTCTCCCATTTTTGCTTAATCCCTGCACCCTCCTCCCAAATATCCTCCCCTCATCACAGCTGTCTGCCTGCTCTCTATCTGAATCTGTCTCTATTTTACTTGTTGGTTCAGTTTATTCAATTCCAAATATGAGTGAAATCATATGGTACTTGTTTTCTTCTGACAAGCTTATTTCACTTAGCATAATGTTCCCATGCTGTCATAAAAGGTAAAATTTTCTTCCCTTTACAACGGAGTAGTATTCCCATTGTGTAAATGTATCATGGCTGTTTTAGCCACTCATCTACTAATAAACACTTGGGCTGCTTCCAAATCTTGGCTATTATACTAGTAATAACGCTGCAATGAACATAGAGGTGCATATATTCTTTTGAATTAGTGTTTTGGGTTTCTTCGGATAAATTCCTAGGCATGGAATTGTTGAGCCATAGGCAGTTCCATTTGAGGTAACTCCATACTGCTTTCCACAATGGCTGCACCAGTCTGCATTCCTACCAACAGGGTACCAGGGTTCCCTTTTCTCCACATTCTCACCAACACTTGTTTTTTGTTGATTTATTGATGATAGTGATTCTGACAGGTTTGAAGTGATAATCTCATTATGGTTTAATTTGCATTTCTCTGATGATTAGTGAGGTTGAGTATCTATTAGCCTTCTATATGTCCTCTTTGAAGAAGTAGCTATTCAGATCCTTTTTTAATGGGATTTTTTTTTTTTTAGTGTTGAGTTGTATAAGTTCTTTATAAATTTTGGATATTAACCCTTAGTTGTATCATTGGCGAATATGTTTTCCCATTTAGTGGGCTGCCTTTTCATTTTGTTCATAGTTTCATTTAGTTTAATGGATTCCATTTTTAAAAAATTTTTCTTTTGTTTCCCTTGCTGGAGGAGATATATCAGAAAAAAAATATTTCTAAGAAATGTGCAAGATTTTACTTTGGATCATACTTAGAAAGTAATTTTTTACGTTGAGATTATATAAAAAAAAGTCTTTTATATTTTCATTTAGTTCTTTTATGTCATTATTATGTTTGTCTTTGAGCCATCTAGAATTTTTATTAGCTTAAGGTATAAAGCATTTAAAATTATTTTTTTCAATATAGCTCTCTAGTTGTTTTGATACCTATTCTGTAATTATTATCTCCTGTGTTGAAGAATTAAGTAGAGAAAATGTTCATTAGCATAGTGCCTGGACTTAAAAACTAAATGATGAGGGTGTTGTTATTGTGGTGCTAGTAGTTTTTCAGTTTTAAGTGGTAAAGGTTTGGGATGAGATTCCTACAAAGGGGGTAGATGTAAGTGTGTTTATAGCTTGTGGAGAAATAGTCAGAATAGTGCAAAAATATAGGAGAAAAGGAATGAAAGTTTTGTAAGGAAAAATGTGAACTCCAGAGTATGGATTAGAGGTTAGCCTTAACTGGGAAAAAAAAAAAAAAGAATAGACTGGAAGGAAAAAAGGTGAGGATGACTGAGGTAGGTATAGAATACTATAGATGTGAAGGTGAAAATTGTTAGACTTAAAAAAAAAAAGGAATTAAAGGCACTTAAATATGAAGGTAGATGTATTGTGAAATACTTGAGGAGAGTGAGAGATTTTGTCTTTTCACTTTCTCTTCCTTCTCCCTTCTCTTATAGGTCACCCTCGCAATTATGGATATTTAAAAGAATCAGACAGTGTGGAGGGGGAGTCCCCCTCCTCACTCCCCCTTGGTGCTTGAATCCAGGAATAATATATAAACTGTGGAAACTTACTTTTTAGAAAACGAACTTGTATTTAATATAAATTTTATAGCGCTATTTATAATTTTTTTTTTGATTAAGTGCCAAAACCAATTGTACAAAGATTTATAGTTTTATACTATTGCCATTAGGGTTTAAATTAAAATCCTAAGCAGGCCATTTATTCTCTATAAATTTTTTCTGAATAGCACCTTTGTGCCCTGTTTTTCCATTTTAAAAAGTAGTTTTATCTAAAGAAATAGCGGTATAAAAACAATTAGGATGAATTCTTCCATCCCTGACTGCACATCAAAGTGTCGATCCCTGAAGCATGCTTTGGATGTCCTTTCTGTGGTAACCAAAGGGAGTGAAAACCAGATTAAGGCCTTTCTCTCCAGTCATTGTTACAATGCTGCAACTATCAAGGATGACTTTGGCAGAAATGCTCTCCACCTTGTTTCCTCCTGTGGGAAGAAAGGAGTATTAGAATGGCTTATTGAGAAAGGAGTGGATCCACTGGTGAAAGATAAAGAGTCAGGATGGACAGCATTGCACAGAAGCATCTTTTATGGACACATTGACTGTGTTTGGTCTCTGTTGAAGGTAAGTGTAATTTGTTTATTTAAAACTATTATGTTTTTCTTCAAAGAAGGAGAGTGGAATGCATCCCTATTTTATTCCATTAGCAATTTAGATTCAAGATATTCTTTTTAATCCTGACTTTTTTGGTAACATATGGGCAGCGGTAGCCATATAGCCATATTAAAGTAATTCAACTTAGCTCATAAGCAGTTTGGAAATATTAATGAATCGGGCATTTCTGCTGAACCACTTCATGCCATCTTGGCCTTATCTCTTATTCCAGCCACAGCTATGGTGACCAATGTGCACAGGGTTCTAGTAGCTTTCTGTAGGTATACTCTGCATTTCCTTTCTGGCATGCATTGCATGCCTCTGATTTTATGCCTCAGGGCTTTTCAAATGCATGACCAGTTAAAAGTATGGGAGAGTTCAAGTCTCTATAAGAGCAGCTCTCCATTAATGAAGAATGGGAACCTGGGAACCAGTGGTAAATACTTCCTTCTTCCCTTTGTTCCTTGATAGGACAATTATTCTGTAGTATATTTTATAAGGTCCTGGTAGGATCATGCACTAGTCTCCTTAAAAGTGGCCTATTCAATAACTCATTCTTGTATTGTTTTTTGATCTTCTTTCCTTGATTTACTCTCCTGATCTCTCAGTACTGCTTTCTAGAATGTCTTCCCAAGAAAATTACCTGTGTGCGTGCCAGTCTACCTTATGCTTTGTTTTGGGTAAGACAGTAAAAACAAAAACAGTTTTCTATACTTGCAGATAGACATTTCCAGTAGTGTTACTAGTGGAATAGATGTGTCTAAAGTCCTTTTGCTCCTTGTAGGGCATTGGCATGAAATGCTCAGGCTTATAAACTTGGTATATACTTTGATGCTTTTTAATATGCTAATGGATTTATCTTCTGTTTTGGGGCTCTTTAAAGAGTTGTTTTTTTAGTTTTCACCAGAAGGTGTGTTTTTATTGATTTTTAGAAAGAGAGGGGCTAGAAAGAAAAAGAGAAACATCGTGTGAGAAAGAAACATTGAACGGTTACCTCCTTTATGTGTCCTGACCAGGAGTCGAACCTGCTACTTTTTGGTGCAGGAGATGAAGCTCCAACCAACTGAGCCACCCTGGCAAGGGCAAGAGTTGATTTTTGAAGAAATGGGATAGAGTACACACTGGTCATCCTGCTACTTTTAGAATTTAAGATAAGTATGTTAAAGTTTCAGAGCCCACCACTTCTAGGGAGCTCTAAAAAAAAAAAAAAAAAAAAAAGTCCCTATTCCTTTATGTAGGTTGGGCTACTTAGGTAACACAATATATATAGTTTTACAAATGTTCAGTTGGTATAAGTAAAGTTTAGAACAAATTGACAAAATTTTCAAAATAAACTCTTCAGGGATCTAAGTTTCTGTGATCCCATTTGTCATTCATAGCTTGGAACACTCTGCCCTAAAATATACCTGCCATACTCTGAAAAAGGCCAAGTTTAGGTCTTCCCATGTTGGTTTATTGTCTTAATTTTTTTGAAAGCAGTAAGCAACATAAAGTTTTAAATTTATTATTATCTTAGATTACGTCTGATTTTTGTTTCACTTATTTTCTCACTAATAAGTGTTTTTTGTTCATTGACAATTCTTGTGAAATTATAACCATCTGGAACATAATAAAGTTAGAATTGGTTTTAGTTTATTAGAATCCATTGTTACGAGGTTATAGGGGATTTCTCTTTCCTGAATAACACAAAACCAAGCATGCCAACATGTCACAGAGTTTAAAAACTTCCTGGTTCATCTCAGCCTATAACTATCCAGACAAATTCTGTGTGTGGACAGGCAGTGATGACTCGCAACAGTTAAAATAGAGGTGAGTGTTAGTAATTGTTTAATGTCTTATTAAACTACCAGAAAATATTAGAAGTTATTCTTTAAAAATTTTAAAAATATATTTTATTGATCAGAGAGAAAGGGAGAGGGGGATGGAAACAACGATGAGAAAAAAAACGATCTGTTGTCTCCTGCATGTCCCCTACTGGGGATCGAGCGCATAACCTGTGTATGTACCCTGACTGGGAATCGAACTGTGACCTCCCAGTTAATAGGTTGACGCTCAACCACTGAGTCACACTGGCTGGGCAGAAGTTATTCTTGAAAAGGAGTACATTTTAGTTATTTAATTAAAACATTTTTATTGATTTCAGAAAAGAAGGGAAAGGGAGATAGAAATAAATATCAATAAGATAAAGTAACTGATTGGCTGCCTTCTGCACACCCCTCTTGGGGATTGAGCGTGAAAACCCAAGCTTATGCCCTGACAAGGAATCAAACCCTGACTTCCTGGTTCATAGGTCAACACTCAACCTGAGCCACACTGGCTGGGCATACATTTTATATTTAAGAAACTGTAATGATAAAGTAACATTAATATGATTTGAACCAAACTTTCTATCATCCCTTACCCTCATTATGATTTCAAAGACAGAAAGTGTGGTGATAGGAATAGGATGTTTTATTTCATGTTTGAATTTTAATTGTAGAGATATAAAACTGTACAGATTATTTAAATTCATTCTTAAACACACACACAAAAGTAAAATTAAACAATGCTATTAAAAATTTAAGGAAACACATGAAAACATCATAAAAATAGAAATACAAGAATATAATCTCATTGTCAATAGATACAATAGAATTCAAGGCAAAAGGATATGGAACATAGTTGGTCACATTATTTTTATATACAGAAAATCCTATAAATATTTTTCTGCCGTTGCCTTGATATCTTTTTAATTCTCACCTGAGAATATTTTTCCCATTGATTTTTAGAGAGAGTAGAAGGAAGGGGAGAGACAGACAGAAACATCGATATGAGAGAGACGTACTGATTGGTTGCCTCCCACTTGCACTCCAATTGGGCCAGAGATGAGCCTGCAACTGAGGTATGTGCCCTTGACCTGCATTTAATCTTCAGTCCATGGGCTAACACTCTAATCAGGAAGACACACCAGCCAGAGCTCATTTTGATTTGAAATATTTCTTATTTCTTCATATTTTTTGGTCTTTCCTCAGTCTACCAAGAATTGGGTATTTGATTTCTCTTCTCTGTGTGAGAAAAATGTTTTTGGTCATAGGAGATCATTGTTATTCAATGTTTATTTTTTAAATGTCTTTATGAACTTAATCTGTATTTTTGATTAGAATAAAATTAATGATTCTAGGTAAATGGTTAAAAATATATGCATACAAATATGTATATATATATATGTATACACACATATTTTTTTTTCTTTTCTTTTTTTTTTTTTTTTTTAGCATGGTGTTAGTCTGTATATCCAAGATAAAGAAGGCTTGTCAGCTTTGGACCTTGTAATGAAGGATAGACCAAATCATGTAGTATTCAAAAATACTGGTAAGGAAATTCCACACACATATATTACATTAAGGTGCAGCTAAGAAAATTTTAATGACATTTTATTCTTGTTAAATATCTGAGGAAATTTGTGTTTATATCTCTGCAAAGAACTTTTTCTTTGGCAAATGTGGGTTGATAATTTTGGTTTTCCAGAACACTTCTATTTTACATTTTTTAATTTTAATCTATTTTATGTCTATAGAATTAAAAACAGCCTATAAGAGGGAAGGCATTTAGAATTTTAGCTACTGTAAAGTCATTAGTGTGCATCTAGAAAATAGCATCCACATTTAAGTTAGCGGGGAAAATGAAATGATTCTTCCACCTGTACATTCTTCTAATTCTACTTATCCCTGCAATTTGCCCTTTGAGCTCTGGAAGTGGAAATTGGCTGAAAAAGAGAATATATTTAAATGGGACACTCTAATTTTCATTTAACTAGTGGTCAAGCTAAGAAAGGACTCATTCTTCATTTTATTTCTACCTTGGATACTATATTACAAAGGAATTATATGAGCCTTCCAAAATAAAAATGAAGGTTCATATAATAAACTTAGCTGTGATTAGGTTTTATCCCAGTTTTATGGGTACCTTAATCAATAGTTTTATTTACATCAATAAGGAGCAAGCCATTGAAAGTTAATATTTCTAGCCCGGCTGGGTATGGCTTAGTGGCTGAGCAACATATGAACCAGGAGGTCAAGATTTGATCAGGGCACAGGTCCTGGTTGCAAGCTAGATCCCTAGTGGGGGGTGGTGTAGGAGGCAGCTGATCAATGATTCTCTCTTATTGATGTTTCTCTCCCTCCCTTACCCTTCCCTTCTGAAATTAATAAAAATATATATTTTTAAAAATTAATATTTCTGTAGGAACAGTAATCAATATCACATTTGCTTTATTTAGGATGTTTTTCTATATGTGTGTTAATATTTTATGTTCAAGTATTATTTTCATGGAGACTAAGTGGTTATGGCAGGTGCTATTTTAGTCATTTGGCAGTTAATCTTTAAACTTCAGTTAAACTTTAGAAACAGAACAAATAATAGATTGTTTACATTGAGGCAGGCCTGGGATATGGATTTTATGATTTCTGTTCTTAGATTTATATATTAGTAGATTCATAATTTAAAAGAGAATGCTGGAAACATCTTTTTAAATATGGTGATTAATTTCTGTAAAGAGTCATGTGAAAGGTAAAGATTAGTGGAATATATCTATAATTGAACTACACTAATATTTGTTTTAAAATATAAAAGTATAAAAGTTAATTTTCATTGTAGATCCTACAGATGTCTACACTTGGGGAGATAATACAAATTTCACCCTGGGTCACGGAAGCCAGAATAGTAAAAATCATCCGGAATTGGTGGATCTATTCTCCAGGAGCGGGGTTTATATTAAACAGGTATTTTGAAGTACAATTTAAGTATTTTTAAAATTAAAAAGAACTTTGTATCTGATAGCTCATCTTTTCTTTTTCTTTCTTTTTTTTTTTTTAAATATATTTTATTGATTTTGTACAGAGAGGAAGGGAGAGAGATAAGAGAGTTAGAAACATCGATGAGAGAGAGTCATCGATCAGCCTCTTGCACACCCCCTCTTGCACACCCCTACTGGGGATATGCTTGCAACCAAGGAACATGCCCTTGCCCGGAATCAAACCCGGGACCTTTCGGTCCCCAAGCCGATGTTCCATCCATTGAGCCAAACCGGTTTCGGCTGATAGCTCATCTTTTCATTTACCTTATGTTAACTTTGTTGAAGGTATGATAATATATTTGAATGTAGGAATCAACAAGTTACTAATTTATTTTTTATTTTGTTAGCTTTAATCATATCTATTCTGTGTAAAATAGTGTAAAACTGTGAGCTATTTTTCAAGCACTGTTAGAAATTCAGTTTAATTTTTAAAAGGTAGAGTTTAATTTTTAATTATCAGTTTAATTTTTTAAAAATCTGCTAATTTTGTTGCTTTTGATTCCTAATATATAAAAATCCTGGGTCGGAATGGCCAAGGCTCGACCAACTGGAAGTTGGGTTGTGGCAACCCAACACTGACTGCTTCCGCTGCAGGTGCGGTGCCCCAGCACTGACTGCTGAGGGGGCTGGGAATCAGGGCCAGAGAGAGGCTTGAAGAGGGAAGCAGGGACTGATCAGTTGCCTCTGTTGAGCTTTTGATCAGCACTTGCTTCTCTCTTTCTCTCCCAGTCTGGCCAGCAGCTGGTGCCTCCATTTCTCTCCAGTCCTCTAAAGGGGTTGCTGATTAGCCCTACCTTTATGATCAGGCCCTGTTGATAGGCCCAGAGACACTGATGCTGACTGGCATAGGAACTGACCAATCAGAACCAAATGTGGGTGTTATAGGGAGTCAATGGCTGCCTAGGAGGCAGAGCTTTTGACACTTACTGACATTGAAACTGCCTATCAGAATCAAATCTGGGTTCTGTGGGAGCCAGTGGCTGCCTAGGAGGTGGAGCTTTTGATGCTGACTGGCATAGAAACTGACCAGAACCAAATTGGCCAGCAGAGCAGGGCAGTTGGGGATGAGATTAGGCTGTCAGGGGAGGGAGGTTGGGGGTGAGATCAGACCAGCAGGGGAGGGTAGTCGGGGGCAACCAGGCCAGGAAGGGAGAGCGGGTAGGGGCGATCAGGCGGGCAGGCAATGAGCAGTTAGGAGCCAGCGGTCCCAGATTGTGAGAGAGTTGTCTGACTGCTGGTTTAGGCACTAAACAGACATCTCTCAAGGGGTCTCAGATTGTGAGAGGGTGTAGGCTGGGCTGAGGGAAACCCCCCCTCCATGCATGAATTTCGTGCACTGGGCCTCTAGTAAAATTAGAATTTTTCAAGTTGTTTCTCAAGTAAATTCATTGTTGAAGCTCAGTATTACTAGTTTTAGGTAAGTGAACCTGAGTTCTTCAAGATAAGTAATTATAAAATTAACTGATATAAGTATAGATTTTATCTTGGATATTTTATCATTATGCTGGATTTTTTCTTCCACTTCTATGTATTTTACTACTGTTACCATATTCATCTTTCTCTTACTACTTTGTGTGTTTCTATCTCACTCTCCCTTCCTCTCTATTAAAACAATTAAAAAATATAAATGCAAATATTTTTTTAAAATAAGAAAAAAGGATTGCTAAATGGTATTAACATAATATAAATATGCTGCACTTAAGATGCATTTGAAAATGTAACAGGGGTTAGGTATGTAAGTACATGCATGTTGATATGTAAGTATGCTATTAAAGATATATTAGACAAAATTAGAGAAATAAAAAGGACTGTCTACCCCACATTTCCCATGTATAGCTGATGTTTTTAAAAATGCCTTTACCGTGCCGAAACCGGTTTGGCTCAGTGGATAGAGCGTCGGCTTGCAGACTGAAAGGTCCCAGGTTCTATTTCGTTCAAGGGCATGTACCTCGGTTGCGGGCACATCCCCAGTAGGGGGTGTGCAGGAGGCAGCTGATCGATGTTTCTCTCTCATCGATGTTTCTAACTCTCTATCCCTCTCTCTTCCTCTCTGTAAAAAAAAAATCAATAAAATATTAAAAAAAAAATGCCTTTACCTTAAAACATTTCCATAATTTAATAACATATCACTATTTGATGATTTTTATGCTTTATATTGTACTTTGCTCAGTTCTTGCTGTTTGGGAAACAACTGGCTTTTTGTAGTTGAAGATTTAAGATTTGCGTTTTCCTTTGTTTAGTCTGTTTATGGGTAACCTGTGCTAATTCCTTCTTTGTTCTTTTTTCTCATATGTCTGGTTTTAAACATAGTTTTAAAATAAAATGTGTATGTTTGTAATTTTTATTATGGAAAACTTGAAACATGTACGAAGTAGAATAGTATGAATACCAATGTACTCATCATTCAGCTTTAAAACAGTTAGCAATAATCTATTATTCATTTAAAGTAAAATTAAGAATATTTTATTTGGAGAATTTTAATAATATTTTCTTGTTTTCCTGCAGGTGGTACTTTGTAAATTTCATTCAGTGTTTCTGTCTCAGAAAGGGCAGGTTTATACCTGTGGTCATGGACCTGGAGGACGTTTAGGCCATGGAGATGAACAGACATGCTTGGTAATTGATATATTTAGGTAACTTTAGTAAAATTTTGATAAACTGGAAGCTTACATTAACCAAAAAAATTTTTTAGCCAAATATAAGGAGAAAATAATGTACCAATTACTAATAGATTTTTTTAAAATATATTTTTATTGATTTCAGAGAGGGGGAGAGATAAAAATATTAATGATGAGAGAGAATCATTAATCAGCTGCCTCCTGCATGTTCTCCTTTGGGAATTGAGCCTGTAACCTGGGCATGTGCCCTGAACAGAAATTGAATCTGTTTCGTAGGTAAATGCTCACCCACTGTGCCATACCTGCCAGGCCCCAATTGGCAATAGATTTTTAACAATCAATATTTTTCATGTTCAAATCAGATATGATACTAAATTGTGAAGCATCAAGGAAAAAATTTCTTTTTATAGCAAATATTGGGAAGGAACTGGTATATTTACCGTTGATTAAAGGGTACTTTAAAAAGGAGAGAGATCCGTAGCCAATTTGGCTCAGTGGATAGAGCATCGCATCGGCCTGAGGACTGAAAGGTCCCAGGTTCAATTCTGGTCAAGGGCACATGCCTGGGTTTCAGGTTTGATCCCCAAGGAGGAGGCGGGGGCATGCAGGAGGCAGCTGATCAATGATTCTCTCTTGTCATTAATGTTTTTATTTCTCTTTTAAGTCAATACAAATTAATAAAATAAAATGATATTATAATTTTGTGTTTAGGTGAAGAAAATGAACTACTGAGAAGTTAAGAGATTGGATTTTCAAATAGCTAGTAAATATCTCATTGAAGGGATGCATAAAAGTGTCTTACTAGGTGTTTTGTGTTTTACTTATTATTAAAATTTAACCAGAATGTTGTTAAACTCATCTGTTCCTTGCTGAATTGTAGAATTTATCATTATAGAGCAGTGTATCAGTCATATCATTTTATACATAGTATTATCAGATTCTATTTGTATACCTATATAAATGGTTATTAAACTAAAGTTAATTTTATTTTGTAGGTCCCTAGGCTTGTGGAAGGGCTGAATGGTCATAATTGTTCCCAAGTGGCAGCTGCTGAGGATCATACTATTGTATTAACTGAAGATGGATGTATTTATACATTTGGTCGGAATACTTTTCATCAATTAGGAATTATTCCTCCACCTTCCATTTGTAATGTACCCAGACAGGTAAACTCTTTTTTTTAAACAGTAAGGTGGCTATTTGCTATAAAACCTGTATGGACAAAAGGATGAAGGTATTAACAGAGCAACTTATTTTATTTATATTCAGTGATATATATTTTTCACAGGAGAAATTAAACATGGTATAAATTAACATTTATTTGGAGTACGAAATAAAGCACTTGGAAAATTAGGCATTAAACTGCTTTAAACTTCTAAATACTCATAAACCAAGGGGCACCCAGATTTTGGGGGTTTAAGGCCTTACAAAAAAAAACAAAAAACCCAGCTCTGGCAGTGGTTAGGGCATCAGCCACGCACTAAAAGTGTCCCTGGTTCCATTCCCAGTCCAGAGTACCCGGCCCCAGTTGGGGTTTGTGCGGGAGACAACCAGTTGATGTGTGTCTTACATCGATGTTCCTCAGTATCTTCCTCTTTCTCTCTCCCTCTCTCGCTCTCTCTCACTTTTCCCCTCCCACTCTTTCTAAAAATCAATGGAAAAAATATCCTCAGGTGAGGATTAACAACAATAATAAAAAATAATAAATAATAAAACACACCAACTTTATAAATACAAAATGAGCTATGCAAAGGAGGCACCTAGAAGTCTAAGCATACCTCTGCACAGAAATCATACCTGGCAAGCTGATGTGATGGAATATAGTTAAAACGCCACTGCTCTTTGTTCTACTTTTCCCCTCCAATTTGTACAGCCACCACCAGAAAGTACTCTTCCCTCAACTCAGGGACCTAGTACACAGAAGTGAGACTGATGTTCTAAATTAATGTTACTGGAATCATCACCATAATAAATGTGATTTCAACTCATAATGTGTATTTCAAATGTTAAATCTCTTCACTGGATTTAATCCTCCAGATTTAAAGTTATTATTAGATACACATTTGTAATAAGCTTTTAAATTCAGTGATTTTCCATTTGGGATGACTAATGAATCAATAAGAATTACCCCAAAATAGTTGGAGGTAGTTTTCAATCTCTGGTACTTCTTTTTTTTTTTTTTTTTTTTCTTTTCTTCTAATCCTCACCCAAGGATGTATTTAGAAGAGTAATTGGGAGAGGAAGAGAGGCAGGCAGGCATTGAAGCAAGAGAAACATGGATCTTTTGCCTCCTGTACACACCCCATCCAGGGATCAAACCCACAACCTAGTCCTCTGACCAGGAATTGAACATGCAACCCTTTGGTGCGCGGGACAGCACACCAAACTAACTGAGCCACCCGGCCGGCATCTCCAATGTGTGGTACTTTTTTTTAAAAGATCGATTTCCTTCCACTGGAATTTGTGTCTATGTAATCATTTTGTAAAACTTCTTTAGGAATGGTAGATACTTCCTTCCATTTTTATTCTCATTGTCAGAACTCTAGGTTGATAGTACTATATCTGAATATTCTCAACTGGGGGCAGTTTTGCTCTCCAGGAGCTGTTTTGACCATGTCTAGGACATTTTCAGGTTCAATTGGGGGCAGGAGTGGGAGTGGTGCTACTGGCATCTAGGGATGCCTTAAAGTCTAAGAATGCTGCCCGATCTACAATGCCTAAGACAGACTCTGACAGCAAAGAATCATCTGGCCCAAAATGTTATTAGTGCCATTCATGAGAGACTCTGGATCTGTCAAATTTAAAAGCACCATATTTCCTAGTACGGATGAATATGCCTGTTTTGCATATTGCTTTTTATATATTAAAACTGCTGACAAAGTGGCTGCATCAAAATGTCTTGCATTCTGAGAAGAGTTGGGGTCTAAGAGCTAACAGCTTTAGTGACAACTGCTTGAGCACTTGAGGAAACACTGGTAGCAAAAATGCCATATATTTGCTATCTGTTCTACTGGATCTTTGCAAAATTGTACTAGTTAATAGATATATAGTAAATTGCAGTCTTATTTGTCTTTTGTAATAGATGCAGGCAAAATATCTGAAAGGAAGGACAATCATCGGAGTAGCAGCAGGCAGGTTTCATACAGTGCTATGGACTAAAGAAGCTGTTTACACTATGGGACTAAATGGTGGACAACTGGGTAAGAAATCTTTGATGACACTATCTGAAAAATAAATTGGATTCTTAAAATGGATATTTTGTGATTTGTATATTTGTGTAACTTTTTAGGTTATTTACTAGATCCCAATGGAGAGAAATATGTAACCGCTCCTCGTCAAGTCTCTGCCCTTCATCATAAGGACATCATTCTGTCTTTGGTTGCTGCAAGTGATGGGGCCACAGTCTGTGTTACTACAAGGGGAGATATTTATTTACTTACAGACTATCAGTGCAAGAAGATCGCTTCCAAGTATGTGTATTTCTCTGAAAGAAATATAATTCTTGGTTTGTGATACAGTCATCATTGGTTCATGTGTAGTCTTTTTTATATTGTGCACTTGATATTTTTAAAAAGATGTTAATCATATGTACTCAGTCCAAGTGTTTTTACCTGACTGATATATATATATATATATATATATATATATATATATATTTTTTTTTTAATGTACTTTATTGATTTTTTACAGAGAGGAAGGGAGAGAGATAGAGAGCTAGAAACGTCGATGAGAGAGAAACATTGACCAGCTGCCTCCTGCACACCTACCGGGGATGTGCCCGCAACCAGTGTACATGCCCCTGACTGGAATCGAACCTGGGACCCTTCAGTCCGCAGACCAATGCTCTACCACTGAGTCAAACCGATTTCGGCTTGACTGGTATATTTTTAATCTGTATAGCCAGCCTATTATTATCTAAAAGCATGTTATAGTAGCATTCAGTAAACTAGCGGTTGGCCAATCAAAATGCCAGTTACAGTGGAAAATCGTAACATGAAGGTTTTAAGTATGGATGGGTCCACCTTTTGGAGTTCCCTGTGTTTCCTGTGTAAGTCATAATGTGTCATCTATGATTTCATTTTGAGTGATTTAAGGAACTAGTGCTTAAAAACAATTGTGAAGTAAGTTAAGTGCAGAATCCTCTAATTTTCATACATTTTCAATCTTTTATAGTTGATTAATCCATATCTGATCTAATAGCTTTTTTTTTTCTATTCATATTTATCATGTCATTCCTAAGTATTTAACTTTTATAGAGAACACTCTTTCAGACTAATATCTTATTGGTTTACATAATATTTCTTTATATTCTACTAGAGGCTTGGTGCATGAACATTCATGCACTGGAAGGGGGAGTCCTTCAGCCTGGCCTGCTCCTCTCACAGTCCAGGAGCCCTCAGGGGCCGGAGGCTATCAGGGGAAGGTCACGTCCTCATCACACCTCTGCTGCTGCTACTCCTGGCAGTGCAAATTTTAGCCGGCCTGGTTACCTGAGCTTCGGGCGGCCCTGGATGGCTGGGCAGCTGACATCCAAGGTTTGCCTGCACCTTGGGCTGGCCCTAGGTGGCTGGGCAGCTGACATTCTAGGTTTGTCTGTATCTTGGGCCGCCAGTGGGGACTGGGCAGCCGCCATCAGAGGCTTGCCTGTGCCTTGGGCTGGCCCTGTGTGGCTGGGGACTGAGGGAACTGGGGGACCCTGGAGCCATGCACCTGCTGCCCCAGCGGGGGTGAGGGGACTGGGTGCTGTCATCTTATGGCTGTGGGCACAACCATCTTTGTGAGGGCGTGAGGGGCAGCATATTCCCTGTTTATTAGATAGGATGATAATAATAATAATAATAATAATAAATACAAGTAGAGAAATAGATCTTTGACCCCAGAAGAGTATAGCTCAATTAGTAGAAGCAATAGTGTGCAGGAATTCTAGAGAGTAGCCATCTAACTTAAAAAATAATCAGGCATTGAAAATGAAATGCAATGAAAATGCTTTTGCTAATATAAATGAGATGGTAACTTCATAAATAGATACCATTCCTGAAATTAACTCATGAGCAGAAAATGTCAATCATCAATTTGTTACAACTTCTGATAACAATTGAAAGGTTACCTATTATAGGTCATATTTGTTACAGAAACATGAAAATGTGAGCATACATGTTCCTTAAAACTGACTAGGGTTTTTGTCAGTATGAGGTGATTTGTGGAATATTAGTTTTTTAGTTAACATTTTATATTAGTTTTTTGGAATATTAGTTTTTTAGTTAACATTTATAAAACTTGCCCTGGTGACATTAAATTACATAAATATGTTATATCCAAGTTTTCACTAAGAAAATTCATTTGTTGCAGATTGTTACAACATAGTAATTTTGAAATGAAAAAAATCGTAAATGCAGACAGAATATCTTAGAGTGAGGATAATCATGGCAGTAACAGCAGGTTTCACACAATTCTATAGGCATATCCCATGTGCAGATATAATGAAATGTTTGGTTAGTGGATGAGTTATTAAATGAACAATATTGATAATTTTTATGGCAGCTGTATCTATTTATGGTTGTCCATATTTGAAACTAAGGATTTCTTTTTTGTTTTGAGGTTTAAAAATTTTCTTTTCTGATAAAATACAAATACCGTATTTTCTGCCGTGTAAGACGACTTTTGAAACGAAAAAAAGTCAACCGAAAATCGGGGGCAAAAGGCCAAAATTGCATAAAAATTACCTGCAGATTTTGACGGCAAAGTAAGTCTTTTCTTTGAAGTGGGAGGTAGTCTTGTACAACGAATATAGGCCTAAACCTATGTTTCAACTGTAGAATTAGGGGTCGTTTTATACGCCGGAAAATACGGGTACACTTAGGAACTTTTAACTTTATCAGTTACTGTATTTTCCGGCGTATAAGATGACCAGGCATATAAGATGACCCCCTAATTTTAGAGTTAAAACATAGGTTTAGGCCTGTATTCGCTGTATAAGACTACCCCCCACTTCCGAGGCAACACCAGTTCTTTTTTTTTTACTGTTTCTTCAGTAATATCATTCCAGGCTTTTATGACAAAGTTACACAAAACATCCAATTGTAATGCACGCATGTTTCCTCCTTTTGTGAATATCCAGACAATTTTCGGGATCGAGTTGGAAAATTCGTTTAGCAGCATATCGAGACGTTTTCTTGGGATATACTCGGCGTATAAGATGACCCCTGATTTTCGGTTGACTTTTTTTCGTTTCAAAAGTCTTATACGCCGGAAAATATGGTATTTAAGGTAGATTAGCAAGGTGGGCTTTAGGTGTTCAATGTGTATATATGTATGGGGAGAGGATTTGGGGGGGAAAGGATTGCCATAGAAAAAAACAGCTATTGTATAGGGGAATTATTGTTTGAATAGTAATTTCTGCAAAATTGAGCATGTGTATTTAGAAAACAATTTAGACTTTTTTTTTATTTTTTTATTTTTTATCCAGACAGCTAAACTTGAAAAAGGTTCTTGTATCTGGGGGCCGTCTGGAATACAAGGTTGATCCTGAACATTTGAAAGAAAATGCGAGTGAAAAAATTTGTATTCTTGCAATGGATGGAGCTGGAAGGGTGAGTATATATTTATGTAAAAGCGTAGTAATCTTAATGTCAGTTGGTAGCTGTGGAGGACCTGATAATGTGTAAATGTATTCCCATGATAGTGATGACTTCTATTGACTTTGTTTCTCAATTTGTCTTGACATTCAGTACTAATTAATATGGAGCTGGTATTGTAAAAAAAAGTACAGTGACATTTAATGTTGCATAGTATTGCTTTGTTAAATTGTAGTTTAAAATATCATTTACTGTGCTTAAAATGGAAATAAGTAAGGGATTTTGATGGGTTGTTTTATATGTACACAGTATTGATAAATGATACTGAATTACATAGATATGAGCTATGTTATATAATTACTCTTTAAAAAAAGTTAAGCAGATATTAAAAATTTGATGCATAATTGAAATTTTTTTCCACAGATTCAGTTTTAAACAAATGTATACATAATATGTATATGCAGATATTATAACTATCTTATATAAAAGATAATGTATTCTAGATCACTATATAAGGAATCTTATTTCTTTTCATTGAAGTAAATCCTATAGAGTTTTAATTTTAGTTCCCTTTTCAAACATACTAGTATATTTCTTTAGTAAAACTGTTCATTAAAAAAATACATATTATACATTAGTATACTGAAAAAATTTTACACTGACTAGAAAAACAGCTTGCTTTCTGCTTTGTGCTATGAAATAAATCATACAATTAGGATATTTTTCTGATGTTTATAAAGTGCTGTGAAATTTGACATTTTAGAATTTGAAAAATTAAAATCATAAGGCTTCATCTACAGGAATACTACAGGCATAAAACTATTGTAGTTGATCATTTTAAACTTTTTTATTATATATATATATATATATATATATATATATATATATATACACACATTTTATTGATTTTTCACAGAGAGGAAGAGAGGGGGATAGAGAGTTAGAAACATAGATGAGAGAGAATCATCCATCAGCTGCCTCTTGCACACCCCCCACTGGGGATGTGCCCGCAACCAAGGTACATGCCCTTGCCCGGAATTGAACCCCGGACCTTTCAGTCCGCAGGCCGACGCTCTATCCACTGAGCCAAACTGGTCCCAGCTATAGTTGATCATTTTAATGGAGGGAACTATATTTAAGATTTAGATCTGATTTGTAGATGGAAGGGAGCAGAGGCATGGGATTGCATAACACCTTAAATATTAAACTTACTTTAACTTTGGGGTATGTTTCATTTATATTAATATGGCTTATATCTCTGGATATTTACTTGCTTAAAATTCATCTTACATTAAAAACCAAACCGTGAAGGAATCAATATAGTCTTTTTGTGGTGTAACTTTTGAGTAATTTTGGCAGATAGCATTTTGTGCTTTACTTTTCTTATTTATGAGAGGATTGAACTTTTAAAATCAGCACTGTTAAAATTTTTCAAGTGAAATCTTATTTGAAATGCTAATCTATGAAGCCAATAAAAGGGTAGCTGTTCTGGATAAAGCTGGGTTGGGAAGCCTAGCATCCCATTTCATTATTTTCAATATCCTTGAGCAGGTCTCAGGAATGCTATGGTTTGCAGAACCACAAGGAAGCCATTAAACCAAGCATGTCAAACTCTATGATGATTATTTCTATCTCTAGTAATAAAATTTTATATTAGTAATATAATTATATAATTTAGTAATATAATTCATACTTTTTTTTAATTTTTTTTTTATTTTTAGAATCAAGTTTAGATTTTCACAGGATGCTTTTCATTCTGATTGTAAACTGATAGTACTAAAGCAAGTCTGATACCTAAGTTTTACCTATAAGATTTTTGTGAGGTTTTTTTTTTTTAGTATTTTAGTAGCTCTATATGCCCAAAACAAGCAGTACTGAAAATTACTTAAGAGGAATGTCTTTGAAGCATATTTAACCTGTTAACCGAGCGGGACCTATAAATACGTCAAACGTAAACAATATCGGGAACGGGTAGGATGTATGAATACGTCCTTGAAATATATGTTGTGCCCCGAGAGGGACGGTATATATTTTTTGTAATCTTTTTTTTTTTTTTTTAAATATTTTATTGATTTTTTACAGAGAGGAAGGAAAGGGGAGGGATAGACAGTTAGAAATATCGATGAGATGAGAGAGAAACATCGATCAGCTGCCTCTTGCACACCCCCCACTGGGGATGTGCCGGCAACCAAGGTACATGCCCTTGACTGGAATCAAACTCGGGACCTTTAGGTCCGAAGGCCGACGCTCTGAGCCAAACCGGTTTCGGCTATTTTTTGTAATCTTTATCATTGTTTTTAATTCGACATGTTCATTTTTTTTTTTTTTTTGTCGGTATTCTTTTCTATTTTTTTGTAATTTTGTATTTTCCTTTGTGCTTTATATATATATAAATAAACGAAAATTTATATATATATTTCATTTTCATTAAGTATAAATAAAAAAAATATGAAATTACGTCCTCCGGGCGTGACGTACTGACACGTCCTAGTGAAAGAGTACGCGCCCATTACAGGTTGCGTCATTAAAAAGGTTAACAGGTTAATACTTACTGTTTATTTGATGTATTTTTTCTGAAAGACACTTCTTAAAAACTATCTTGACCATTTAAAAAAACCAAAAACATAACTGAACGTTTATTCTAGTATTGCCAGCAGTACGGGAGAGCAGCAGGTCATCCACAAAAATCTGCTCTGTAGCACCCATAAACCAGCTGCTTATATAGGGTAGGACAAAGATTACATAGGAAAGTAGGAGGCTGGAGTGGGACTTCATTGTTTGAGCAACAAAGTTGTTAATCTTTCCATGACGATAGGCAGTTCTTGAATGAGAATGGTTCCAAGGTTAACTCCCAGGTCCTGGGAGGCTGTACACCTCCCAGTCAGGTGAGAATGTCCTTACTTTAACCAACACAAGCCATCATGGTTAACAGAGCATGATTAATATTTCCTATAACCATAACTAGTCCCCAATATTCTATTTTTGCCCCTAACGTTTCCCCACTGCTATTTCTATCACCTCATATCTATGATATTAGCATTAGATGAAAAAGTTTAATCCTGTTGGACTGCATTTGCTTCTGCCTTGAAAGCAGTTCTTAGGAATGGAATGCATCAAATGCAGGATCTTGGATATATTTTCTATTTACTGAGAATTGTCAGAAAGATTAAAATAGCACATTCCTTTAAATTCCTCACAATCATGATTATGCTGCAACAGCAAATAATCTATTGCTGCCTGATTTTCTAGAACTGCCTCCCTGATCCGGCTCAGCTCTTCATTTATCCCATATATAGCCCTGGAGGTGACCTTCAGGGTTTTTACTATGCTACAAGCTAGCTGGTCACTTCCTACATTAAGGGAGCCTACCATTACCAGCATAACAAAATTGGTCAAAGCAATATATGCAGCATGGCTCCACAGGTGGAGATAGTCTTTGCAATCCAGTGCCACACCTTGAGAAAGTCTGTTTTGGTTTAGACCCGGGGTGTTTCTGAGATATAAATATCGTTAGGCCCTTTCGTGCTATTAGTAGAGAGTTACCCCAGATATCAGAAACCAACCAGCCAGCAGCTTAATATATCCATCCATTACTATAAAGGAAGGTGAATTATCGGAATTCATATTGTAGTTAGATACTGAAAGATAACTACAACACTGCATTAGCCTTGCATCCATTTTCTAGACAGTGGGTCCAACAAGGAATCCCAAATGAGAGGCAGCAAGTGCTTCTCATGTCATAAAAACAGTTTGATTCCTTTTACAAAACTGCTTGATTCAACGTGGGTCTCAGGTGAGATGACGGGAATTGCCAAGGCTAGAGCTGGAACTCAAAACAGGAAAATTTCTGGCAGCGCTGCAAATAAAGAGCCCAGGCTTCAGCTCCAGGAACCCCTGTCCAAGCAGCAAGTGGGATCCCCAGTACTCACCCAGAGAAATTCTCACTTAATATCTCTACATGATTGCAATAATGGGTAACCAGACAATCAGTGGACCCGTGTTGCCTGTCACTACTTGAGCCAACTAAGTAGAGACAGGGTTGAATCATATATGAGCATTTATTCCAATACTTCCTGCAGTATGGTAGAGGAGCAGGTCATCCACAAAAGTTTCAAAAACCATCTTGACTTTTATGGTATCTAGGTTTTTCTGCAGAATGAACATTAAAACATATTACTCAGAACTTTATTTTAGAAACATTGCCTCTTAATTTCAGTTTTTGGTTGATCATGTGCTATAGTGCTTTATGTTCCAACTAGAGGCCTGGTGCACAAATTTGTGCATGGGTGGGGTCCGGCTGGCCTGCCCCTATTGAGGCGACGAAGGAGGTTGGCTGGCCAGCCCTGCCCCTGATTGGGGTGGGAGGGCCAACCAGGGATAGGGCTGGCCAGGGTGAGGGGCTGAGGGTGGTTGGCCAGCTGGCCCCACCCCCTGGTTGAACTCCTGATGGAACTCCCAGTCCAGGGGACAATTTGTATATTAGCCTTATAATAATAGGATGTAATTTGGTTTATTTTAGGTGTTTTGCTGGAGATCAGTCAGCAGTTCTCTGAAGCAGTGTCGATGGGCTTATCCACGCCAAGTCTTCATTTCTGATATTGCTTTAAATAAGAATGAAATTTTATTTGTCACCCAGGATGGAGAAGGATTTAGAGGGAAATGGTTTGATGAAAAAAGAAAGAGCTCTGAAAAGAAAGGTCAGTTTATATATGTGAATGGCACATAAAGGTTCTTTCATGTAACTTTTAATGTCATAAGATTTACCCTTATGTCCCTTTTGATTTTGGTTTGTATATGTGCAGGTAAGTGAAAGGAATTTTATTTATTTAAATTGGAATTTTTAACTTTTTATCTGTCTCAGCATATCCTGAGGTCATGGTACATTCTCATTAGTAACAGTGGCTCACTGTTAATAATTGCTAACCTTTACTCTAGGACTAGGTAAGTGTAAAGTTAAACACATAAGCAAGCAAACAAAAACAACTCCCCAGATGTTTTTCAAAATCATAAAACCACAAAAGAATGATTTTTGGATAATTATTTGTTTTCATTTCCTTATAAATTAGTCAAGTCTGTTGACATAAAGGTACATTTACTGTATGCTAGGTATAGGGCCAGGTTTTAATAATACTAAAATATATAAGGTGGGCCCTTGTTCTGAGACACTAAAAAATAAATATTTACAGTCATGGAGACAAATACACTTTTTTTTGAGAATATAGAAATTGGAATAACTGTGTATTGGGGGAATATTAGTAAATCCCTGAGACTGCAAAAGAATGAATTTGAGAATAACCAGAATTGAGGTATGACTTATAAATGTTGAGTCCTTAAAATTGTGTCTTTCTTACATCATACTTAGTGGTCTAAAACTGAATGCAGACACCCACATCTACTTTTCAGTGTTTCAATTTAAATCGTTATGTTTATCTTTGACACAACAAATTCCCTTACCCTCTGTATCCAATTGTCACCAAGTTTTGTCATTTTTGTCTCAATGTTTCTGAAATCTTCATACTTTTCTACAGTTTCATCTCTACAACCTCAATCTATATCATTTATATTTTCTGGATTAATCTCTTTGTCTTTGTTTCCATATATTTTAAATATACTTCATACTATAGGCAGAATCATTTTTTTCAATGTAAATTTCATTCTTTTCTATTATTGCCTTTATATGACGTGTAATGATGCCATCATTGTTTAATGTTTGTCTTTTCTGCTAGAAGTGTATTCAAGATGGTAGGGACATACCTGTCTTGTTCACTACTGTATCACTATGGATAGACTGATGATCACTATATGGTAGATAGTGTAGTCACCCTGATATTTGCTGAATAAGTGGAAGAAAGGGAGAGGAGGAAAGAAACAAATAAGCAACCAATTATGTAGGTGCCAAGTTTACATATTTGTAATGCAAACAGTAATTTTAAAATCCTTTTTAACACTAGATTTGCTTTTTAGAAAGATAACTTTGGTTGCAAGTAGAGGATTTTTATTGAAAGGGAGAAATTCATGGATAATTGAGAATTGCCCTCCCAAAATTTCATGTATTATACAACCAATATATAGGGTGCACATTGTTTAAAGAGAAAGAGGATGTAATTTTTCAAATGGAGTGAATACATAAGAAAGATATTTTTGTATTGTAATTGTTTTTTTTTATTTTTTCCTAAATTTAATAAAACCTTAATTGGAATTTTTTTCCTTTTAACAGAGATTTTATCAAACCTTCATAATTCTTCATCAGATGTATCTTGTGTCTCTGATACAAATAGTGTATATGAAAGAATTCGACTTGAGAAACTTACATTTGCTCACAGAGCTGTTAGCGTCAGCACAGATCCAAGTGGATGCAACTTTGCAATTCTGCAGTCAGATCCTAAAACAAGGTATACTTGTATATATTACATTTCATTTTTAGAAGGAACAATACTGGAATTTTTTGTGTTTGTTTTCCATAGCTCCTAGACCAAATTTAATTGAAGAGCTATTGCTATGTCTTGTAGAGACTTTAGACATAGAATCATGCTACCAGAATAACTCACAGGTAGAATTTGTTGCACTGGTAATTTGTTTGAAAACTGATATTTATTGAAAATATTGAAGATGCATACATTTATGTTTATGTATATATGAGAGGCCCAGTGCATGGATTCATGCACCAGTGGGGTCCTTCGGCCTGTCCTGCAGGGTTTAGGCTGAAGCTGGCTCTCTGACATCCCCCGAGGGGTCCTAGCCAGGGTGCAGAGGGTGCAGGCCGGGCAAAGGGACCCCATTGGTGCACGATTGGAGCTGAGGAGGGACCGCAAGAGGGCTCTAGAAGGTGTCTGGCTCATGTTGCTCAGTCACCATTATGGCCAGCCGCCTGAGGAGGGACTGCAGGAGGTTGGCTGGCCGGGGAGGGACTGAAGGAGGACTGCAGGGCTTGTCCTGCCTGTCTCACCCAGTCCCGATCTGCTGGACCCTAGCAGCAAGCTAATCTACCCCCTGGTAATCAGTGCGTGTCATAGCGACTGGTAGAATGGTTGAACAGATGGTCAGACACTTAGCATATTAGGATTTTATTATATAGAATAGGCACACAAATTTATTTATACCTTTAGTGCTTTGTGATATACTCTAAGGTCCCAGATCCTGAAAAGTATAAATATTTGTTATGCAGTTTGCAACAATTTCTGACCTTTGAATATGATAAGAATTGATAAAAAGAAGTATTTTAGAGTCACCTGTAGGGTAGGGTAGTGTGAATCTCTGTACAAATCTTTTAAGTCACATTAGTAGAGAGATGACAGATTAAGGTAAATATCAAGTATTGAAAAGGAAAGAAGTCCTAGAAGTAGGGTGACCATCCAGTTTGGCCATGCCTATTCTGTATTTAGCACTGGGAGACGCCTCTGTCTCAGGCAAACCGAGAGTGTTGATCTCCCAGACCTGGAAGGATAAAATGTAGATTGGGAAGGTGTGATAGCACTCTTAAAGTACTAAAAGACAGGGTTACAGACCAATTGTGTGTCTGTGTGTGTGTTTATATTTACTTCCTTGAGTTTCTGTCCTATTCTAGGATTTGGGACCCAAAACATTTATTCAATTCTTTATATATTTTTCTTGTAAAATAAGTGGATATAAAAGAGGAAGAGGTTGAGACCTGTATCCTTTTTTGAATGCTTTTATTTTTATCATTTAAAAATTTTCTATGAAATAGTCATTCGAAATTTATATTTTAGTGTTTCTTTGTTGAAAGAGAACACACTGCTTTCAAGTGAAAACTTAATTCTTATCATTTTAGTTTAGGAGAAAAAGGAATAGAAAAAATTTAAAGGGTGATACACTATCTAAGACTATGCAGTATTCTTATATTTTAGGAAATGTTAAATATAAAATTTTCTAAGTTTAGCAAATAAAAAAGAAATTGCACTTTAAATGGAAAATTGGCTGGGGATGCTTTAAAGATTTTTTTTTTTTATTGATTCCTGAGAGAGGAAGGGAGAGGGAGAGAGAGATAGAAGCATCAGTGTTGAGATAGATGTATAGAATATTGATCCACTGCCTCCTAGAAAACCCCATTCTGGGGATCGAGCTGGCAACCTGGGGATGTGTCCTGACCAGGAATCAAACTGTGACTTCCTGGTTCATGGGTCAATGTTCAAGCACGGAGCCACAACAGCCGGGCTAGGGATGCTTTTTAAAAAAATTTTCTTGAAAATAAAAATGATTTTTTTGTTTCATTTCTAGCCTTTATGAAATTCCAACTGTGTCTTCATCATCTTTTCTTGAAGAGCTGGGCAAACTGTTGAGGGAAGCGGATGAAATGGACAGCATCCATGATGTGACATTTCAAGTTGGCAACAGAATCTTCCCTGCTCATAAATATATTTTGGCATTGCGTTCTGACTTTTTTCAGAAATTGTTCCTTTCAGATGGTACTTCTTTAGACTTTACAGATGTTTACCGAAAAGACGAAGATTCAGTAGGATGCCCTCTCTTTGTGGTAGAGAAGGTCCATCCTGACTTGTTTGAATACCTTTTACAATTTATATACACAGATACTTGTGACTTTTTAACTCATGGCTTCAAACCAAGAATTATCTTAAATAAAAAACCAGAAGAATATCAGGGTACTTTGAATCCTCATTTGAATAAAATGAATTCACATGAAGATAATAAGAAATCAGCATTTGAAGTTTATAAAAGTAATCAAGCACATACAAATAGTGAAAAACAGAGAAGCAAACTCAAATCTTCCAAAAAAGTAAAAAGTGTTGGGGAAGATGATCCTGTAAAAATGTTGCAAAATGTTGCAAAGAAATTTGGTTTCAGTAATTTGTGTAGTAGGTATGGCTCCTTCTTAATATCCTTGTATTTTATGTCCTCCTCTTAAAAATGATCTTTTCCTTTGCTGTTCTTCTCTTTCTCCCTCTCACTTCCTTTTTGTGGGCAGGTATGAGTTTGTTTGTTTTCTTCATTTTCTGCTAAAGCTACTATGGGATTCCCTGGATTAAAACATTCACATATGGGAAGACTGTTACTGGGTTTGACCTGGGTTTGAACTCTATGGTGTTTGTGTAATTGAGGTCCAGAGTGGCAGGCAGTGTGGTTGCTGGAAAGAGTACTCTCTTTGGAATTAGAACTCTATATGTCTCTTAGCTTTACTGTAACTAGCTGGGCCAGGTTTCTTAGTTTCTTTGAATTTTAGTTTTCCAATATACAAAATGGGAGGGATAACATTGATTTCATATTCGTATAGTTTTGTTATATAACACATGTAAAGATGCTGATAGTATTTGTCATATTACAGATCAGACTTTTTGGAATTCTCTATTTTTACTTATATTGCCTATGGCAGTGTAATCTTAATTGTGGGGTGGAAGCTGGGGAGGAGTGCATATTTTCTATTTAAAAACAATGAAAGGCTTTGTACCATACCTTTAATTTTTTTAAATTATTTTTTGGTCAGTAGTGATATTTTAATACATTTTGAATTCTAAGTAAAATTGAAAGAGAATGTATGATTATTTCTTTACCAGAGAGTGTGGGAGTTTTTTGAGATATTTTTCCAAGTGATACAAGTTATATAATCCTGTTCAGATTTGATTTGTTGGATTTTTGTTGCTTGTTTGTTTTGGTATGGAAATATATACGGTTAATTTTTATTTCTTCTTGTTGATAGATTAGATGGCGTCAGATTTGAAAATGAAAAAATTAATGTTATTGCCAAGAAAACTGGTAACAAACCAAAGCTAAATCAGAAAAAATGGTAAGTTAGCAAATGAAAGTAAACTTTTTATCTCTAGATTTTGGGACCTAAGTATGGGAAATAGAATTATTCTTTCTTATGAAGTAAAATGTATAGGTAGATACACTTTTACCGTTACTAATATTCTTCATTTTTGGAAATAATGGAGAGTTGTTGAAGTAAATGGATAAAATATTAACTATTTTAATAAACATTAGTACCATTCATTTTTCTGATTACTTTCTAATTAAGAAAGGAATTTTTAATTTTTTCTTACCTGCATTTTTCATTTTTTTGATCAGTAGGAAATGTTAACTCCAAAATCAAACTGATTATGCCTCTAATCATTATGATGATTTCTTTGTCATACTTTTTAGTGATGACTATACTACATTGATAGTATATTATTAAATATTTTGTTTTTAGGTATTCATAGGTGAGGTTTTTAGAGAAAGAGAAACTGGAGATATCTGCATTATGCTTAGATTAGAATGGGTTGTACAAATAAGTGAATTAAAGACCTTTGACTGTGCTGTAATTTACCATTATATTATTGGCCAGTAATGAAAAAGAAAAGTTAGAGGAAAGATTTTTGAATATTTATCTGAATTCAGTTTCCTTTTTAAATATTATTTTTTATTATAAAATGGAAGATGAAGTACTTCATTGTATACCCTCAAGTTGTTTATTCACTGCTGCCTCTAATGAAAAGAAAGTCAAAAGCCAAGCCAAATTCTGTAAAGAATTTTCTTATTTGATAAACATGTAAAGAAATTGCTCTTGCTTTAATTAAACGTTTTTCTTGCAGTTCATTTGTGTATGATGTGACCATGAAATCAGTGGATGGAAAGGAATTTCCTTGTCATAAATGTGTTCTTTGTGCTAGACTTGGTAGGTACACCTTTTCTTAGTTGCTGACTTAGTTGTTTCAGTATTGTTTCACTATTTTTATTGATTTTATTTTCTTTCAGATTATTTTCGTAGTATGCTGAGTAGCTCATGGATCGAGGTAAGAATTAAATATAACCAACTAGGTTGGTTAACAAAACTTCTTTAGATTTGGGGGAGGTTATATACTAAAGAAAGTAACAATGGGAACCTGATATTTTAACTCAATTTTTCTTTTGTACTAAACTTTATGCATAAGCCTGCTGGAAAATAGCGATACTTAGAAATGAAAATTAGTACAGAAAAGCTACTTAAATCAAAATTTCCCCATTATTTGGAAAATTAGAATGTAGTGTGTTTTTTATCTCAAATTTTCTTGATCCTTTTTCATGTTATAAGGCAATTTAAAATGAAAACTATCTTATTTTAGCTTTGTGTTGTATAAATGTTATATTCTTTTGCATTTGATGCAATTCCTCTTCAAAACTTTTGTACCAATTTCAATCAGTATATAGTAGAATGTTGTAGTTTAAGTTAATTGTTTTATTTTATTTTATTTAGGCTTCCAATTGTGCAGCTCTAGAAATGCCAATACAGTCTGACATACTGAAAGTTATTTTGGACTACCTCTATACTGATGAAGCTGTGCTGATAAAAGGTATTAATAAGAGGGTATTTTAAATCTTTAAGATATAATTGAATAATGTTAAAAACATGAATCTTAATTTCTAAATTGAAATAAGTCTTCAACACAGGCTTAATTTAGAATTAGCAACAGGTATGATTACTAACAGTAAAGACATAGAGGAACAACAGCCTGTAATTTTTAGAATCAAGACTCTAGGCTAAATACTGAAAAGTAGTATTGCTGTATCATACAGTATTTCTATTTTTAATATTTTGAGGAACCTCCATATTGTTTGCCATAGTGGATGCACCAATTTAATGGTCAGCAGTGCACAAGTGATCCTTCCATATCCTCATCAATACTTTTTGTTTTTTGATAATAGCCATCCTAACATCTCATTGTGTTTTTGATTTGCATTTCCCTGATGATTATATACTAGTGACATTGAATACCTTTTCATATACCTTGATGCCATTTGTAGGTTTTTGTATATTATCTGTTCAGGTCTTTTGCCCATTTTTAAATGAGTTACTTGTTTTTTGCTCTTAAGTTGTAGGAGTTCTTATGTATTTTGACTACTAACCCCTTTTCAGATATGGTTTGCAGATTATTTCCTTCCATTCCAAAGGCTGTCTTTTTATCTTGTTGATTTCCCCCTTTTTTTCTTGCTCTTTAGAAGCTTTTTAGTTTCATGTAATCCCACGCATTTCTTTTTGCTTTTGTAGTATGTGGTTTTGGTGTCATGTCTGAAAATTTTCAGGTTTTTTTCCCCTCCCATGTTTTCTTCTAGGATATTTATGGTTTAAGGTCTTACCTTAAAATCTTTAATTCATTTTGAGTTGATTTTTGTGTATGGGTTCACTTTCATTCTCTTGCCTGCAAACATTTAATTTTCCTAACACTCTGTTGAAGAGACTGTCCTTTCCCCATTTTGTATTCTTGACCCCTTTGTAAAAAATTAGTTGACTGTATATAAGAAGGTTTATTTCTGGACTCTCTAATTCTGTTTCATTTGTCTTTTTTTTATACTAATAAATTACCATTTTGATTACTATGGCTTTGTAATAGAGTTTAAAATTGGAAGTGCCATTCCTCAAGTTTTTGTTGTTAGTTTTGTTTTCAAGATTGCTTTGGATATTCAGGGATTTTTTTGTGATTCCATATGAATTTTAGGATTGCTTTTTAATTAATTAATAATATTATTATTTAAATAATTCTTTATTGTTGAAAGTATTACACATGTCCTCGTTTATCCCTCTCCCCGCATTGACCCCTCCAGCCCACACCTGTCCCTTGCCCCAGGCCTTCAGCACTCTATTGTCTGTGTCCATGCATACTACCGTGTTTCCGCGAAAATAAGACATCCTCCGAAAATAAGACCTACTTACAGGTTTCCTTCTGAGTGAAATATAAGGTATCCCCCCCAAAATAAGGCCCCCCCCCCTAGGCTAAACATGAGAGATTTGGTCAACTGAGTCTGAAAGAAATGGAATCTACTTATGTTGTTATTCTGGCAGTGGCTCAGGGGCGTTACTTACGGCCATTAGTATGCTGGACCAATAAGGTTATTTTAAATTAAGGAATTCCTGTAGTTTTAAAAAAATGTCCTCTTAGATAACCATGTAAATTTTCATTGTTTGTCTTAAAATATATCTTTATTGATTTCTGAGAGGAAGAGAGAGCAAGAAATATAGAAACATCAGTAATGAGACTCATTGATCGGTTGCCTCCTGCAAACCCCCTACTGGGGATCAAGCCTGCAACTCGTGCATGTGGCCTTGTCTGAGAGACTGAGAATTGAACTTGGGACCCTGCAGTCTGCAGGCGGACACTCTATCCACTGAGCCAAATCAGCTAGGGCACCAGATTTGTTTTAAATAAGGAAGCCTTAGAGCATTATTTATCCCTAATCTCCTTCCTTCCCTCATATATACATATAGATGTATATTTATATGTTAACACATACCTATGTAAAACTTGAGGTTGAGATTTGACTTTCCCTCCTATTTATTAATTTGAGAAATGTTTTTTAACAACACAGGAGATTTTAAATAAGTCAGGCATTGTAGTAGCCCTCTCCACTAAAAAGATCAACTCAGGTTGCTCATTCTGTGGTCTTAGTGTGAACCAGAGCATTTTGTTGTGTTTCTAGGTAGAAATATTTTTATATTATTACTAATTATCATAGTTACAACTTCAACATTTGGAAAGTAGCCAGTATAATTCTCTTTTACTGTCTTAATTACTGTTTTTCCTACTAGGTGTTATGTTTGTAAAGCAATGAAGAGTGATGCTTGTTTTCTTTTTTTTTCCTTTTAGAATCTCAAAATGTGGATTTTATTTGTAGTATTCTTGTGGTGGCTGATCAGCTTCTCATAACTCGATTGAAAGAGATTTGTGAAGTAGCATTAACAGAAAAACGTGAGTATTTTTGAATTAGGATATTAGTATGTTTTCAGGTTGGTCTAGGATTGTTGTATTTAATTGATTTTTGATGTCATTTATAGTAAAATATACCAATATTTTCATATCATAAAAATGTGAAAACATTTACATTATTTCATGTCATCATTTGTACGCATATCTATTTCAGAGAGGTTAGTATGTGAAAATATGTACATTATAATTGAAATATTCTTTTTTTTTTTTAAATGTCACAAAAATTCTATCTAATATAAGGGTAATATGCAAATTAACCATCACTCCAAGATACAGGATGGCCACCAAAAGGTGTCCAGCAGGGGAGGACAGTTGGCGGTGACCAGGCCGGCAGAGGAGGGCAGTTGTGGAGGTACCAGGCCAGCAGGAGAGGACAGTTGGAGACCAGGCCAGGATGGGAGGGCAGTTGTGGGGGACCAGGCCTGCAGGGGAAGGCAGCTGGGGGGGAACCAAGCCAGCAGGAGAGGGCAGTTAGGGATGACTGGGCCAGTAGGGGAGGGCAGTTTGGAGTGACCAGGCCTACAGTTGGGGGGCCAGACCAGCAGGGGAAGGGGCAGTTAGGGGTGACTAGGCTGGCAGGCAGAAGCAGTTAGGGGCAATCAGGCAGAGGCAGGCGAGTGGTTGGGAATCAGCGATCCTGGATTGTGAGAAGGATCCCAGATTGAAGAGGTTGCAGGCTCGGCTGAGGGACATCCCCTCACCCCCACCCCCGTATATATATTTCCTGCACCTGATCTCTAGTTTGAATAATAAAGATGCTGTGATACTTATTTTGGAATTTCAAGGGTGAATTTGGAAATAGATACTTTTTACCCCTTTCCTATTGTTGACTATAGGTCTATGTTAAGCTACCCATTTCCTAACTATTTGTTGGAATGTTTATGTAACCATTTCATTAATATATTTGATCAAAACACATCTTTTTTTTCTCTTAAACTTTTATTTCTTTCTCTGTTCATTATTTCAGTTAATTGCATGGCTTTTCTCCTAAGCACTCAACTTTGAAACTGCAAGTTTTATTTTTTTTTCTTTTTGTTCTGTGTGTGCCAGATTCTTTTATTATTGTTGTCAAAACTGAATCATTTTAACTGTGTTGATCACATTTTCCCCAACTTTTTATTCTCTCTGTGATCATGCTCATTTGAATTCACTTTTACCCATCTCTTCCATATAATGTCACAGTAGTCTTTTAAATCCTCTTTCTCTCTTCTAACTTCTCTATAGGAAGTCATTATGTCTCCCTTTGTTTAGGTATTTTTAATTGCTTATTCTAGGATAAAGGTTAAATTTCCTTAGCTTGATATAAAAGTTTTGTGACTTTCTAACCTAATCTTTTTTCTCCTGAAGTGTGAAATGATTTCCTGTCAAGTTTTTCTAATTTATAAATGCTAGTAGTTTGTCTTAAACTCTACGGAGTATCTTCTTCTGGATTATCAGAATGAGAACAATTGCTCTGATCTTTTAAGCAAGAAAGGAGAATATATATAAAATAAAGGATGCAACAGGTATAAAGTATCCATATAGAAGACATTTTTAGATGTTAAATACACTTTCCTGGTATTCCTTGGATATTTTTTTCTTGGCCCTTGCTGCACAGTTGCCTTGATTAATGAATTCCTCAATCTTCTCGAACTTAGCAAGAGAATGGTTTGGTCTTCATTTACTGGGCAATCCTTATTCCCACTGAACCATTCCAAATTTTTTATATGACCCATTTTAATTTCTTTGAAATGGGAGACTCTGGACTCATTATTTATTAGTTGAAACTAGGTTAGTCAGAAGTGAGACAGAGATGGTTATTGCTTGCTTGCAGTTATAACTTTTGACAGAGTTACAAGGGAGAAAGAAAAAAATGGTGGAAGCTTGTGTAGAAGATAGTTCTGTTTCTCTGGGACTCAGAATGAATAAGAAAAAGAATGAAGAGGTTTGAGAAGTCAAAGTTACATGCTAGTATATATGAAATATGTTTTGCTAGAAGACTGTCCCAGAATATCCTACTTCATATATAAAGTATGTATTTTGTTACTGGCATTTTAACAAAATCCAGAATCTTTTATATGGATGCCAGGTTCTGCACTGGCCTGAACAATATGGTAAGATATAGATATAATTATATTCCAAAATATATAGTGTGTGTATGTGTTTATGCAAATATACCCACATAAATTGAAAATTATTTATCATATTTTATAGATATTAAATATATTTCATAAGTTTCTCATTCTTAAGAATAGCTTTAGTTTTATAGAAGAGAGAATCACTTCTGTGCTATATAAATGAGAAGAAAAGTTGGTTATCAACTAAAATAAAACATTCTATAAAAATATTAGGTGGAAGATTATTAATTCTGTGTGTTTGCTTTTACGTGACTAGAGTGCACCTTCTGTATTTCCTCTGCTTAAAATTTTTATGTGTCCTTATTTTTTCTCATAACCAATCATTTTTTTTTTTTTTTTTAAAGAAGTTGGGGTCTGGGACACATTTGGGTAATGTATAGATGAGATCACACCATTTTTAAAAAAATATATATTTTACTGATTTTGTACAGAGAGAGTTAGAAACATCGATGAGAAAGAGTCATCGATCAGCTGCCTCCTGCACACCCCCTACTGGGGATATGCCCGCAACCAAGGTACATGCCCTTGACCAGAATCGAACCCGGGACCTTTCAGTCCCCAAGCCGATGCTCTATCCATTGAGCCAAACCGATTTCGGTTCATAACCAATCATTTTAAATTACTCTGGCATACTAGGATGAAAAGTGAGTTCTTCCCAGTTGGTGTGGCTCAATGTGTAAGCATTGACCTATGAACCAGGAGGTCACAGTTCAATTCTCAGGGCACATGTCTGAGTTGTGGGCTCCATCTCCAGTGCTGGGTGTGCAGGAGGCAGCCTATCAGTGATTCTCTCTCTCCCTCTTCTTAACTCTCTGAAATCATAAAAAACATATTTTAAGAAAAGTGAGTTTTATATTTGTGTCTGTATAAGTTATTTTTGTCAAGAAACGAAGTTTTCCTTGTTCTTAATGTTCAAACTGACTTTAGAATAGTATTTTTTTTCTGTAGGACATGCCTTTTATCTCATTTTGCATGCATTTTCTTCCTTTGTAGTTACCCTCAAGAATGCTGCTATGCTACTAGAATTTGCAGCAATGTATAATGCTGAGCAATTGAAACTGTCTTGTTTACAGTTTATAGTACTGAATATGGCAGCTTTACTTGAAGCAAGGTAGGTTGGGTATATACATTATATGATCATTGCAAAAGCAGTTATTTAGAAATAGCAGATATATTAGTAATTTAAAAGTGAGTAATGATAAATTCTGATTTTGTAGAAAAAATGAAATGTAAGTGGATTTAATCATTCCATGAACATTTGAGTACCTACTGTATGCTAGCCATTGATAAGACACAACAATGAATATAATAGACAAAATCCTCAGTAATGCTTACATTCTGGCCGCTAAGTTGTGAAGCAATATTATCACAATATATTTTTTATATGTATGCATCTCTCTGCTTGTTTAGGTTGGATTGTAACTATATAATTGTGACCTTGGCTTTTGGACACTATCTGCAATACTAGTACTTAGTTTATATGGAAGCATGCATAAAATTTGTTACTGGCTGATTTCTATTTTCTGTATGTATTTATTCTCTTTAAGACATTTCCTGTCCTACTTAGGCTGCAAGGGATGGTCTGAAAATTTTATTTAAAATTTTATTTAAAATTATAGTTTATTTTCTCTAGTTTTCTCAAGCTGGTAGGTGCTTGGAAGGCTTTATGTTGAAATCAGTGAGTAATGAAATGCTTCTTATGAAAAATTACTCATTTTACATAAAAAGTCAGCTAAACATATATATACAGCCCGTTTTATAAGTTAGTATTTCACATTATGAGGATTACCTGAATGGAAATTATTTGACGTTAATGATTTAGGAGTTATAGACATTTTAGAGGGATCTTGGTAATATTATGCTGTTTTCAATTGTTTTAGCACTGGATTTTTTTTAATGGAATGAATTTATATATTTCTTTTTAGTAAAGTCAAAATTTTATTACACTTATTCATTATAAAGTCAGTGGTGAGAAAAATGAGTGTTTGGTGAACACAAATTTGAGTTTAGAGATCTTGGTGTCAGTTTGCATTTTTAAAGCTTTGGTATCTAATATATTTTGTGTTACTCATAATAATAACAACAACAAATACTGCCATAATAATTATTAATGGTAATAATGACAATAAAAGTATTAATGATAACAAATACTATTGTGCCAGGTAGCATTTTAAAGGTATTACTTAGATACAGTTAATTTCATGAAAACTATGAATTAGATTCTGATTTTGTTAATTTCATGAAAACTATGAATTAGATTCTGATTTTATTATTTTTTAATTGATTTTTAGAGAGAGAGCAAGAGAAAGGGAGAGAGAGAACCACTGATCAGCTGCTTCCTGCCTGTCCCCTACTGGGGATTGAGCCTACAACCCAGGTTTGTGCCTCAGCTAAATTGAACCAGGGACCTCTTGGTGCATGAGTCGACTCTCAACTACTGAGGCACACAGGCAAAGCAGATTCTGTTTATATCTTCATATTAAAGCTGAGAAAACCCAGAAAACTTTGACCTACATAATTTATTATAAATCAGTTTTTGATAACTGACTTAAAATTTCTTTTTAATATATATTTTATTGATTTTTTATTGGCAGGAAGGGAGAGAGTTAGTTAGAAACATTAATGAGAAACATTGATCAGCTTCCTCCTGCACACCCACACTGGGGATGTGCCCATAACCAATGTATCGATACATGCCCTTGACCAGAATCAGACCCAGCACCCTTCAGTCCACAGGCCGACACACTATCCCCTGAGCCAAACTGGTTAGGGTGATAACTGATCTTTAAGGTCAGTATAATCTGTAATGAAACTAATTCCAAAACTGATGGAAATAAAAATGTTTTATTCAACAGATTTTTAATAATTGCCTCTTAGGGTTCAATTTAGAGGAAATAATATTTTGGCAGTTTAATGTTTTGTCATTTTACACAGGAAGATACTGAAGCCCAGAAAGGTAATATGAGTTGCTCAAGGTCATAAAGTTAGTTGGTAGCAGTGATAATGCTACATAAAATTTAGGTATCCTGTAAGCACTCCTATAATTAAGGATTATAATTTGTGGAAAATGAAAGTCAAATATTTTCTATTGTAATGAAATAGCAGGTACATATTCTATCATTTATGAGTTGTTTGAGTTTTATATATTTGTCTAGTGTGTTCATGTTTATTGAAATATATAACTATGCATGCTTCCTAAAAGAATATGTAGCAGTTAGATATTAATGTTTTAAAAATAACTTATTTAGCAAAATAAATTATCTCTACATATTTGAAAACCTTGACAGGTTTTAAGTAACTTACGTAAGTATTAAGATAACATTTTGTATCTTACTTGTTAGGTCTCTTGATGTTTTAAGTGTTGGTGTTTTGAAGGATCTTTCTGCATTTTACCGAAAAATGGTAAGGTTTATGTTCTTTTGATATTATCATCTAAAGCATTATATTTGGTCAGACATCTCAGTGGGATAATTTCCTACTGAATTCTAATATTTAAGGATCTTTTAGAAAACAGGACCTAGTATTTCTTCTTATATACATATATTTTAAAAAATCTTTATTGTTGAGAGTGTTACATATACCCCATCTTTTCCCCAATTGACCTCTTCTAGTATTTCTTTACAGATTCCATAGATAAATAGGATAATTGAAATTCAAGATATTTAATGATTAGTATATTTTAATTTCTTCATAAATGAAAGTTATTAAAAGCTTCAGGAACATTCATTATTATTTACCAAAGGTCGGGACAATGCAAAAACATGTATTTACATGATTCCTGTAACAAATATTGATAGATTAATTTGCATTTAAAAATATTTTTATTGATTTCAGAGAGGAATGGAGAGAAAGAGAGAAACATCAGTAATGAGACAGAATCACTGATTGGCTGCCTCCCGCATACCCCCTCCTGGGGATTGAGCCTGCAACCTGGGCATGTGCCCTTGACAGGGAATCGTACCCGGGACTCTTCAGGGCTAGTTTGTATTTTTAATAAAGGAGTGCTTTTCTGTTAAGGTTTTTTTTTTTGTCCTCCATGCCTTAATGGAATAATCTTTTATTAATCAAACCCTTGATTTAAATTTAGAAAGCCATTAAGTATTCTAGACTTTTTCTAGTTAATGTCACTATATATTAAAACAAATGGTATATTATATCAATTTTTAAAGAGATCTTTGTAAATTTTGTATTTGAAAGATACATTTTTTTTTTTTTTGTAGATTCCAGCAATGGATAAAAGAGTCATTACACCATATCAGGATGGACCAGATATTAGCTTCTTGGAACTAGATGATGGAGATATTTTTTTGAAAGAAGAAATAAATATGGAACAAAATAATTTGTAAGCTTTGTTTCCTTTTTCTTCTCTCCCCGCCTCCCCATTCCAGATCTTGAACACTTGCATATTGATATTGAAAGAAAAAACTTGAGAAACCTAACATTCTTAACCTCAGTATAGTACAAAGTAAATGAATACTTAATATTTGCAGATATAACAAAATTACTTCAGCAAAGTATTCCTGATTCTAGATAATGTCCAGTACAAACCTACCATTTGACTAGCCCTGCTTAGAATTTCCAATTCATGTTTTGCATTCCCTTATCAATTACTAATAGAATTAGTTCTACTTGGTAAATGACATAAAATCTTTGGTTGTTCAAGTCATTTACTACATATACGCAATGTATTATGTATGTATGTGTAGTAGCTCATTGAAAACCACTCTTGGGTTCTGATGTATCTTTTTTTTCTTTTTTTAATTCCTTTTTAGAGTTTGTTAGCATTTGGGACACTTGTTATACATCTCGATCAGATATCTACAAACTGCCATGTTATTATATTAAAAATTTAATAAAATTATTAGCATTGACATATTATCCTTTACAAAATAATAGTATTCATAGCAGACCTGTATAACTTGAAGTTATAGAATTAAATCTGTAATTTTTAGTGAAAGGTAGTTTTAGTCATAATTTTTAGTCCTCATAATTTTATTTTTTTCTTTCCTGATTAATAATAATTTAGGGAATTAAGTATTCCTTTAAATGCTTTAAAGTTATCAGCAAATATTTCTCATTCAAGATTATAGTTTATATGTTCAGTATTTTACTTTTCAAAGAATTTTCTCATGTATCACCTTCTAACTTAAACAGAAATGCTATGGTTAGAATAATAGTAACATACCAAAGTTCAGTGAAGTTGAGGAATTTGCTCTAGATCACAAAGATAAATGTGACTGCAGCATGCATATCCTTATGTGTTTTCTTTTAAAAAATAAAAACATATATATTAAAAGTTGATTAAGAGAGAGGGAGAGAGTCATGGATCAGCTATCTCTATGTATCTTGACCTCCTGGTTCATGGGTCGATGCTCAACCATGGAGCCACACCGGCCAGGCTTTATGTGTTTTTTCAACATGCATAGTTCTTTGTTTCATTTTAATTCATTTTTAAAAAGTGATTTTTATGTTTTCTATTTCCTAGGGAAAGTATGTTCAAGAAGGCCAAAACAAAAGCAAAAAAGAAGCCACGTAAACGTTCAGATAGTTCGGGAGGTTATAACCTTTCAGATATTATTCAGAGCCTACCATCTACAGGTTAGTGGAGTGTTTTAGGATCTATTTCTGGATTTAATCTTTCATGTCTCTGTTCTTTACCTAATTCATTTGACATGTACTAAATACTATCATATGCTATTTGCTGGGGCTGCTGAAATAGAAAATTAAAAAAAAAACTGTCTTCGGGTTAGGATGATTATAGAAAGTGATAGTACTTGTGATAAGTTCTCTGACGTTTGCTGTGGGACACAGAAACTAGTCTGAAAAGATAGGAAGGATCTCTTAGAGGAAACTGATACTTGAGCTGGATCTTAAAGATGAAGTTAGTTAAGATAAGGAGGCGGATGGACCTACTAAGAGATGGGGGTAATATCTTTCCAAGCTTAGAGGCAATAGAAAGAATTGTACATTTCTTGTGCATATAGTTCAGCATGGCCCAGCCATATAGGTTGTGTGCAGATAGAAGATGGGTTGAAGAGGGTCATATTTTGGAGGGTATTGCATATTTTATGCCAAATTAAGGTATTTGGATTTTATCCTGAAGACTGGTTAGCTGTGGATGGATTTTTAAGGCAGATTGAAAGGTTAAATTTAATTGGAGGCCAAAAACACCTGTTCTGGGGAAGAAAAAAAAAATTGAGTATGAGGCAAATTTTATCAAGACAGTTGTGCAAAAGCTTAACATTTATTTGCTTTGATATTAAAGTTAGACAAAAAACATTCTGTGAAAAATATTATTTACCCCAACCAATTGTTGGCTACTTCAATCATTCTCTTGATTTATTAGATTTATTTCTGATTGACTTTTAGAAACATTTCAGTATTAAATAATGCTCTTTTAGATAAAAATGTGCCTCCCTGAAAAGTATTTAAAATATTATAGTAAAAAAACAAAATCTTGAAATGTTATTTCGGAACTCTATTTTAGCAGTGATTACCATAAAAATGGCATATATATGATCAAAGTGATTTACTTTCAAAAGAATAACACTAATTTAAATATATAAGAGTTGCTATCCTTTATTTGCTTTTAAATCGTATAACTTGAAGTTACAGCCCATATAATGTGTTTATTTTGGATATTTTGTTACTTCATTTAGATTGTACTAATTTGAAATAGGAACTGAAGCAAAATTTACCTTTTATTGTTATTATTTGCTATGATGCTGACCAACTAATGAATCTGGATACCAGGTATGGCAGGGAGTCAAGTATTTAGCCTGCTTAAGAGAAGAAGTGATATATAGATTTCATAACAGCTCTTCCTTTAGGTAATAAGCTAACTAAAAATAGCTCTTAATCCACAGATTTTTCTTTCTTTCTTTCTTTTTAAAGCAGAAGAAAACCCTCAAACAGACCATAGTTGGCTTCAGGGTATAAAGGCTTCGATACTCCCCCCATACAGAATGGGGCTGGTTCTCCTCTGTGAGGGTGCAAATACCTCTATACAAGAGATAGTTGTGAAAGGAAAAGGGCAGGGGATTGAAGTTTGTTAATTTTGTCTTTATTTTTATTTGGAAAAATAAAGTCTGTGAATTGCTTTCATTCTTTCTGTTAATCCTCACCTGAGGATATTGATTCTTAGAGAAGGTGAAAGGTAGGGAGGGAAACATTCACGTGAAAGAGACACATCGATTAGTTGCTTTCAGCAAATGCCCTAAGGATAGGGATCTAGTCTGCAACTGAGGTACGGGCCTTTGATTGGAACCGAACTTAGGACCCTTCAGTCCCCAAGCCAAACCGGTCTCGGCCTGAATTGCTTCTTAAAGCAGATCCCAGAGAACTGTCTTCCTTGGGATTATTGCATAATTGGTATATAATTAGAATTATTGTTAATAATTCAAGCTAAAAAAAAAAATCTACATTTTAAAGATTTTGGTAGAGTGGCTATAATTTAAATGTTAGTCTGGATAAATGGAAGTTTTTGGCTTTATTTGGTTTATTGGATATAATACATATATATTTTTTAAATTTACCTTTTAGGATTATTAAAGTCTGGTAAGACCAATTCTGTGGAATCTCTTCCAGAACTGTTGACATCAGACTCTGAAGGAAGCTATGCAGGAGTGGGTAGTCCTAGAGATTTACAGTCCCCTGATTTCACAACAGCATTTCATTCAGATAAAATTGAGGTTTGTTTTTACTTGTCTATTAATGTACTCTTTCCTTAACTTCAAAATTTAGGTTTATAGACAGTTTATATTTTATTATGTAAATCAACCAGGACAGTGTTTTGAAGTAAAAATAACAAAAATCTAATTAATGACAATATATGCCATTAGTTTTCTCAAATTTGCATGTTTCTAGATTTAAAGATTTTAATGGCTGTTTTGAGCACTTTATGAAAATATAGGAACACTGTACATATTGGAAAATATATTATAGCTAAGTTATTTGGAAATCCTTCTGTGTAATGTCAGTTAACACCACCTAAAAATTGGCAAAGGAAAATGATTTGAATGTAAGCTTATATTTAAATTCTGCAGTTCTTCCACATGGCGTTAACTGAAGCAATACTTTCTGGAATGGAGTTCTCATAATCTAGCACACTTAACATTAAACAGCAGTAGTTCATTTTCTTCACCTGAACACAAAATTATAATAGCATTTTATTTTATTAATTTTTATTGACTTAAAAGAGGAAGGTGAGAGAAGCATTGATCGGCTGCTTCCTGCATGCCCCACTGTGGAGATCGAGCCTGCAACCTGGGCACATGCCCTGACTGGGAATTGAACTATGACCTTCTGGGTCATAGAGGTCAGTGCTCAACCACTGAGCCACGCCAGCCAGGCTAATATCCTATTTTAATCCTCACCTGAGAATATGTTCTTTTATTGATTTTTAGAGAGAGAGAAACATCCCATACACTCTCCTACTGGGGACCAAATTGCAATCTATATATGTGCATTGACTAGGAATTGAATCTCACCCTTTTAGTGACTGGGAAGATGTTCCAATTAACAGAGCCACCTGGCCAGGGCCATGACTTTTATTTTTAAGTTACTGCTTCATATCTTATTTGAATATTTGAACAATTAATTTTATTAACATTTTTGCTTAATTCTCATGTAAATAGGGATTTAATATATAAACTTGTTTTCCTAAAAGTTATTCCCAACGCTCACAGTTATTGGGTTATAGTTATTGATTTGTTTTAAGAATTGGTGAAGGCATTAAACTGTGGAAGAACTGAATTGAAGATGCTAGATGATTATTGTCATACTAGAGGCTTGGAGCACAAAATTCATACAGTGGGGTGGTGGGAGGAGAGGACCCTCAGCCCGGTCTATGCCCTCTTGCAGTCCAGGAGCCCTTGGGGGATGTCTGTCTGCTGGCTTAGGGGGGCCTGCTTGCTGCTCCTTAGTGCTGCAGAGAAGGCAGGAGAGGCTCCTGCCATCGCGGCTGAGCTTACAGCAATGAGCTTGGCTTCTGGCTGAGTGGCGCCCTGTGGGAGCCCACTGACCCCAGGGGGTAGTTCCTGCTTGAGTGTCTGCCCCCTGGTGGTCATTTGGCATCATAACGACTGGTTATTCTGATCGTTCCACCTTAATGGTCACTTAGGCTTTTATTAATACAGATTTTACTCTTTAAGATAATTTATTTAAGTGCCAACAGTACTAGCTGCTCTGCTAGGAGCTTGCTTTTTTTATTCACTTTTTAAATGTTTCTTTACTCCCAGGGGAAAAAGAAACCATATGTTAATGATACACCTCCTACATATTTCAGAGAAGATTTAAAACCATGGGAAAAATCACCAATACTTAAAATATCTGCTCCACAGCCCATTCCGAGTAACAGAATTGATAGTTCAAGCTCTTCTAGTTGGGCTGCTGGCTCTTTCAGGTAGGATAATTCATTTTTTTTGTCATAGTCTGCAACATATAATTCATTTTTAGTCAAATGAATATTTTTAATAAAGCATATTTAAAAATATGAATTCAGTCAAACCTCATTTCTACACCAAGTTGTTCACAGAAAAAATGTTTTAGTTTGCATTCATGCTGATAAAACCACCTTTGTGGCTACAATCTAAAGATTAGCTATTGTTAGTGGCAAAATAGAAGATTAGCACAATTTTAAAACAAAGAGCTCCTCAAAAATGCTAATGTTGCTAAGGGTATGAAAGTGCTCATAAAACAACAATCACGGAAATTAAAGCGGTAGAAGGAAAACCTGTTGTTGATTTAAATAAATTAAAAGCAGGTAGCTGGTGACCAGAGGCAATGAATGGTATGTGAAAAAGCAACCACAAACTGACTTCATGAAAGACATTAAAGAATGCTGAAAGTGATTTCTTTTAAGGCAAGTACATGAGACATGTACTGTATAAAAGAAAGATTAAGATGGGATCATTTGTGGGTCTAGAATTGATTAATTTAGTTTACATTATTTCTAATGGGAAAAAATGATTGTTTTCAAACAAATTGCTTCTCAAACACCCTTCTGGAACAAATTTAATTTGAGAACCAAGATTTCACTGGATAGATTTCTAACATAATACACAGAAAATTACCTTAATGCATACAAATTAATAACCAGATAAAATAGGCTTCTTTTTCCAAACAGTTTAATTACTTTTGTATTGTCATCAGTGAGTATTAGTAAATACTATCACACACATTATAGTGACTTGATATCTTTTTATGGGGTGAGGGTATGGGAGAGGATAGTATATTAGTTAAAAATCCAATTCAGGAAGACCATTTTGTCATTTGTAGGCTTACATTTTTATTTTATTTTATTTTGTGTACATTAAGGGTTATCTAAGATCTCACAAACTGTATTGTTATCAGTTAATTTTTAGAGGCTGTTCACTTAATGTTATACTGTGCTTTTAATTAACCTATATTTTCATATTTTTTAAATTTAGAAAAGTTAATTTTTAAAACTGAAGTAGATATTAAAATACAGTATTCTTTCTCAGCATTTATTGACCTGTGCTTCATTTTATATACCTACTGTTGTTTATAATTTTTTTAAACTGTCAGTTAACTTACCAGGGTGATATCTGTAATTACTTTGAAATATACTGTGTTTTGCACAGTTGGAACATGGATTATTATATCCCAGTGTATGTTACTTTTTGATCTAAGGATAGTTTAGAAGTTAGTCTCAAATGTTTTTGCCTAAGTAAATATTTGTAAGAACACATAGAAGTATCTTCTAATCACTGTTAGACTACCTTTATTAAACATTTTTTAAAATATGTTTTTATTGATTTCAGAGGAAGGGAGAAGAGGAAAGAGAAAGAAACATTAATAGGCTGCCTCCTGTATTCTCCCTATTGGGGATCAAGCCTACAACATGGGCATGCACACTGGCTAGGATAGACTATTTTTAAAACATGTTTTATGAATAGCATGGCGTAAAGTCAGAAAAATATGTAGAATTTTTTTTCTCACGGTGTCAGATAAGTTATGAATCTATTGCTTGGCATTTTTTTTTTCCTTTAAGAGTTTTGTTATATTACTTACCATTATGACTTTGGATGCATTTAAATATTTATGTATGTATAAAATTAGCTTTCATTCAAAATATCTTTTTTGAAATTGTCCATAGCTGATGAAGCCAATCTAAATTATCCTCTCATTATAAACCTTATATATAATTTATAGTTTTGGTGAAGTTTGGAGGTAGGACTTTATGTAAAAATGAATGCATTGTAAAATGACTTTTATGTCTTTTAGTCCTGTCAGCCCTCCTATTGTGGATCTCAGAACCATCATGCAAATTGAAGAAAATAGACAAAAATGTGGAGCTACGCCAAAGACAAATTTGGGGTTTGTTTAAAATAATCATTTAAAAAAAAAAAAAGTCCGTGTTGTAGTTATGCACTAAAGAATTGGAAAGACCTACAGGACTTTTCCTATTATTTTTTTTCAATTTATGTTAAAGTTCATTGTAAGCTCTCTCCTAGTTAGCTTAGCCTCCAATACATAATTTTTTTACAGAGAAAAGGAGAGGGATAGAGAGCTAGAAACATTGACCAGTTGCCTCTTGCACACCCCTACTGGGGATGTGCCTGCAACTAAGGTACATGCCCTTGACCGGAATCGAATGCAGGACGACACTCTATCCACTGAGCCAAACCAGTTTTGGCACCAATATATATTTCTTAAATGTGTGCTAAAGATTTAATTGGGTTAATAGTCCAACTCTTGTGAAATACAGTATTAAAAGCCAGAAACTTGCCCTTAAAATGATCATTGTGGACTAGTTTTGATGCAATTGTTATATATTAGTAATGGAAAGCTCATGTGTAGGTATTGCTTGATTATTGATAGTATAAACTGAAATTGTCACTGTTAAGTAGTAGTAAAACCACTTCAGATGAGAAAGCAACATAACATAATTACCTATAACCTTCGTTAAGCAGAAGTTAATGTTAATTGATTTAATTTATAGCAAAATTATTTCTTACAGAATTGAACTTTCGCAGAGGTAGTGAAACTAATTAATTTAACTTAATTTCTAGCAAAGTGCTTTCTTCTGGAGTCAAACTTTCTCAGAAACAACGAAAAATGATTGCAATGACTACCAAAGAAAATAATTCAGGAGTGAATAGCATGGAAACAGCTTTAACTGCTCCTTCAAAAACCTCAAAACCAGCACATGCGTGGTATGGTCTAATTTTTAATAAGCATAGATCTGTGCATTGTTAGCTTTTAATTACTAATTCTTAGTTCTTGGCTTCTATGTCTTATTTCCCCATCTTTTAAAATATTTCATTTTCCTCTTTATTTGCCAAGGAACTGTTTTAACTAAAAACAAAGACAAGTTTTGTTTTGTTTTGACAGTACATCATGGTGTTTTGTTTTGTTTTTTGTATTTTAACTAATGTTTATTGCGAAAGCATTCTGTTTTTCATTTTTTATAAGAAATAATATACAGGGGTGGGTAAAAGGTTTACAGTTGTGAGTATGCAAAACAGAGTTTTTTTTTTGTATTTTTAAATTATTTGAGCACTTTGTACCTAAGTGCATTGTGTCTTTCTTTTGAATTAATAAAGCTATTTTAATAATCAGAACCTACATGTCTTTTTCTACACGAACAGCTGTAAATCTACATTTGCCAACACCTGTATATTATAGAAAAATTTTATTAGAACTTTTTTTTCCACCTTAATTTCTTTGTCCTATTGTGTGCATCATAAATATTTTGACATTATTAATAATCAAAATTTGTCATTGTTTCTAAGCAGGAGCATTTACATAACTTTGAATAAGTTTTCTCCATTAGAATTTACCCAAAATGGCAGCATTCGTAGGAATAATCTTCCAGAAGCTTATATAGCAATTTTGAGAGTATACTTTCTGCTCCCCTCTTTTCTTTGTAACTAATTAGAATTGATTACCCATACTTTTCCTCATCACACTGACTGGCAATGTGAAGGGCAAGAAGGAATTCAGAACCCTGTTTCTCACGAGCATTGAAAGGCATCTTAGAGGCTACCTTTGTTTGGGGGGAATATTCCTTCACTCCCTCTAAAGCCATATTTTTTTTGTGTGTGAGAGGAAATATTTTTCCCAATTAAAATGTAAATTATTTTGAGGGAGACAACTCTTTATTTTGAATGCCACCAATGGGCCTAATTTGGTGTCTTATAGCCACTAGTAGATCTAAAGCATGATCACAGAGAAAGAAAGCCCAAGTAAAAAAGAGTATGTAAAACTTTAGAGAATGGTTTAATCCTCTCAAATGATAACATATTTAGTATCTAGAGAATTCTTTGCTTGTCTTTTTCATACTCTTGATTAAGGAAAATACATGTTTAACTGCTACCCCATTAAACCCTGACGAAATCAGTTTTATACATTGCCTTACCACCAAAAACAAGAACAGTGCCTTGCATGTAGAAGGTGCACAGCATATACAACCAAGGGAAATTTCCAGGATGACAGTTAAGGGAAGTGTCAAGATAACATAACAAATATTCAGTAGGCCTCTATCACTAGTGATTTTTAATCACATTTTCCTTCTACCAGGATAAAGAAGGGGCAATCTTCTGAGCAGGGAGAATAAGGAAAATGTATCTGATATTCCCTACTACTCCACAAGTAAACTGAACTTTTCATGTTTACGTCCTTATGCATACTTTAGGATTTTATACATGAGAAAAATGTGTGAGCCTTTTCAAGGTTTTGGGTTTTTATATCGTATCACCACTTGATGGCAATTAGGGTTTCTTTATTTCTACTACATTAGTGATCTTTCTAGCTCTTTTCCATCCTCCAAAACTAGTACTAGTTTTAGTTTACTATTGTCTTATTGCTTTATTCTTTTTGCCTTTCTGATGACATGCCTGTTCACTGTATATGTGATTTCAGGGAAAAGGATTAAGGTAGTAATTTATTTGAAGCTTCAGAGTTTGATTTTCAAATTTAGGAAAAAAATTTCCCCAGTAATTATTAGCAACATGAGGTCAGATTCCCATGTTGAAGAGACTAAGTTTCAAAAGAAATTTATTATGGCATATTAAAGAAAATTCTAAAAATGGGAAGAAAGATGCCAAAAAATTTGGCCCAAATATAAACAGGTTATTTTTTCTTGAAAATTACTTTGGTGGCTATCACATGTAATGTTTATTATACGTTTATTTAATGAAAATGTGATTGGAACATTTTAAAACAAACAAATGAATAATGGTTTTTAATGTACCAAGAAATTTCATCTAATTGAAAAATTATAATTTAGTTCTGACTTATCAAAGTGAGAAGTATCTGAATTGCCATAAAATTTATACCCTTTTCATGATTTCTTGCAACCACAGTTTTGGTATCTGAAGGATTTTTAAAGTTCATTTCTCATAAATTCTTTTGAAATTATGTTTTGCTTTTATTTATACTCTTTAATAGTGGGCTGAGGTAACTTAATAATATGTATGTAAGATACATGTCAATATATATGTATAAACAATATATATAAATTTATTTACATATAATTTATTGTTGGCTATGAAAATTTTATCCTAAGCTAATGGCACAGATGAGAAAATATTTGTTAGAAATTTTAAGAACATATTTATATAAAATGATTGATTGGTATTCCTGCAGTTCGATTTATATTTAGTATAAATGTAAATAATTATCATTAAGTCATCCCTCACTAACCCCCTTGCCGGCCTCACATAGCCTGCTTGTTCAGTCTTTGGTCATCCCTTGCCCTCCTGCCGGCTTGGACATAGGCAGGCATCTTGACAGGGCGTGAGGGTTAATTTGCATTTACCTCTTTATTATATAGGATTAAGGTTAATGCACAATTCATTAGCAAATCACAAGTTAGCCTAATTTTAGGGCTGCTTTAACTGAGAAACAAATCTTAATTAAATTTTTGTGTGGATAAAAATATCTACAAATGCTTCTCGTGAATTTCCTCTAGTTGCTATTATGGAAAATGGCCAGAGCCTATGAGTTAGAAAAGTGAAATCATAGGAAATCAGACACTTTCAAATATGGCATGATCAGTGGAGAGAATAATAGAACTCATTTGAAGAAATCTGTGTAAGACATTTGATAGATAACTACTGTGCATAATTAGTGAATTTGTAACTTTTGTTCTTTTGTAAATACTGTTATCTATATTTACTCTTAAGGAGATGTTATAACTGAAAGAAAGAAGAAAAAAAAAAAGAAGCTTTTAGGGTACAGATTACCACATCTAGAAGTCCCTGAATTACCATTATGGTGAATCTGACAACTTGTGTTTTTTATACACATCATTGTGAAGTTTTTGTGTTTAGAGATATGAATTGCTTATATAGGAGACATTCAGATTTTCTGGCAAGAGTTTGCCAGCATGTTCCCAAATGACTAATGATACAATACTTTACACCATAGTTACTCTGTTTACTAGTAGAAATACCTGTGTGCTTTTGGGAGGAGAAAGGAACTGGGAAGGAAATGGGGAGTGTTCTTTTGTGTGTGTGTGTGTATATACACACTTAAATGCTCTGTGTATATATGTATTTTGGGGACATTTTAAAGTCACAGGTAAATTTTTTTTGAAGTAATTTTAGTAGGCCATGTTGCTGATACATATTCATAAAGAAAATTTCTGTCATAATGAGCTAAGATTTTACTTAGGGTAAATGACTTAAATGTGGATACAGCAGTAGAGTATAGTGATTGGCTGGGGTTCTGGAGTGAGCCTTGCCTGGATTTAATTGGTAGAGCTATTACTTGGTAGCACTGTGAACTTAGATCAGTTATTTAACCTTTCTCTGTCTTACATAAACAGAGCTAAAAATAGTTTCTATTTCACAGGAGGTAATATATGGAACACATTTAACACAGCATCATCAATATTATATAAACAAATAGTAACTTAATTTGTAATACGTTCACATGATTAACTGATTTCCTTAACGTATTAAATTTTTAATAACTTTTTTTAAAAAGAAATCTTATGTGAAGTAGTTTATGTTCATTTAATGTTTATTGAGTAAATAGAACTTTGGTAAAAAATTTTTAGCTAATTTTGTTATGAATGGATGCTTTGTGTGTTAATAAAACAAAGTATGAATCATTTTCCTCCCATCTTTGGCGCTTAATAAGGAATGTTGTTGTCTTGATGTCTTGATTTCTTATTGAAGGGATGACTAAGTATGAGTTTTGGGTTATTAAGAATTGTGTTTTGCTCCTAGTTCTGCCTTATCTCTGGTGATTTTATGATCGTTGAAATCACTGAACTTTGGTTGTACTTTATTGTGATGATGAAAAATACTTTTCTGTCAGGATTGTTATTGTAAGGATTGAATGAGATGATGCATGTAAAAGTCTTTTGCAAATATGGTTTGGTCAGAGGCAGGTGTACAAATAAGTTATTCAAACAAGATACAGAAATTCAGAAGGCCTTGATTTTGATAAGGTGCCCCAGATACAGGGTAGGTTTATACTTGTGAGTACTTGAAAGTTTATTCTTGTAGTATTCTTGTAGTATTTTTCATACGAATAACGGTAAACCTACTTGTTGCTCTACCCTGTAGTTTATGAACTTAATCTGGAGTGGATTTTATGGTATCCTAAAAGTATGAATTTAACTTTTTTGGGAATTATCCGGTTAGCATTTTGTTCACTTATTAACCTGGTCTTTTTATTTTCTGAGTAAATAGAGCAGGGAAAAATTAAAATTAGAAAGTCACAATTATGAACAATAATAATGTAAATAATATTCTAGTCTAATGTTATAGGTTCTGAAAATGACGTTAAGAGTACAATGTAGTTCTAGTGTACAAAATAATAACTAAGGTGTCTTTTTGAATTAATTTTTCCAAGTCAGATTTTAGGAAAGAAGGAAGGAGATACTAAGCCTATAAACTGATTATATTTATTCATGTCAAAACTTCTGTGTTTTTATTTTCTTTTTCTCTTAAAAATAAGCTAGTTTTGTTAAATGTGAAAATTATGGATAGCAGATTTACATAGCATTTCTCTGAATCAGGTACTGTTTAAAATAATTTAATAGTTGATCCTAAGAACTGTTATGATGGTATTAGTATAACTATCTTATTGATGAGGAAACAAGCATGGAGGTTAAATAACCTTCCAAGGTCTAAGCTGGTGTATGACAGAGCCAAGATTTGAACTCAGTTTAGCAACAGAGCCTGTGTGCCTAATCCTGACTGCCACCCTGTAAAGAATTGTAAAGTAAAACACTGAAGGTAGATAAAAAATAAGTATGAAATCTTTGGAAGCTAAAATAATCTGTATAGGTAATTTTTAATGTTTTGCCTTTTTTTTTAAAATTATTATTTAACTAATACTCTAAACTATCGGGTCTAGTAATAATTAATGTCGTTTTAAAACATTCGTTTAAAATCTTGCTTGGCGTTGACTTGTATTGACATAACCTTCAAACACGTGGTATCTACAGAACGTGTGAAGTGCAATTAACAAGTTTTGCTTGAAAAAGTTTGTGTTTGGTTTGGTTTTTGTTGCAAAACTAGGGCTAAGAAGATGGCGGATGAAGAGCATATTTGGCACTGCATGCTTTACGAGTTCCAATTAGGAAGAAAAGCTTTACAAGTTCCAATTAGGAAGAAAAGCAAGTGAGGCTGCAAAAAACATCTGTAGTGCTCTTGGTCAAGATGCAGTTAGCGCCAGAAAATGCCAGCGTTGGTTTGAGAAATTTCGCGAGGGAAATTTTTCGTTAGATGACAAGAGTGGTCGAGGCCGTGTGTCCAATTTTGATCAAGAAGCTCTTCAAGCTCTTTTGGTGCAAAATCCTCAAATTACCCAACAAGAGCTTGCGACAACTTTAAATTGTTCACAAGAAACAATTTCCAATCAATTGCGTGCACTTGGCAAAGTCCAAAAGTTTGGAAAATGGGTTCCTCGTGAGTTGACCGACAACAACCATAATCAAAGAGTCACAATTTGCAGTTCGCTCCTCTCTCGTCAAAACCGTTTGCCGTTTTTTGAGCAAATTGTTACCGCAGATGAAAAATGGGTGCTGTATGTTAATTTGAAAAGGCGGCCTCAATGGTTGGACAAAAATGAGGCTCCGCAGCCCACGCCAAAACCTGACTTGCATGCGAAAAAAGTGATGTTGTGTGTTTGGTGGAATTTTAAAGGAATTCTTCATTATGAACTTTTACCATCTAACCAAACCATCACAAGTGCAGTGTATAGTGCCCAATTGGAAAGGTTAGCCCAAGCTTTAAGAGAAAAAGAACCCGCGCTGATTAATCGGAAGGGCGTAATTCTTCACCACGAAAACGCACGACCGCATACTGCAAGAATCACTGCTGAAAAACTGCGCCAGTTGGAATGGGAAGTTCTCCCTCAACCTGCATATTCTCCTGATATTGCCCCTTCCGATTACCATTTGTTTCGTTCTTTGCAAAACTTTCTTCTTGGAAAAAAATTTAATAATGAAGGATGCCTCAAAAATGCATTGACTGAATTTTTTGCATCAAAATCACAAGAATTTTACAACAGAGGGATTAAAATGCTTCCTGAACATTGGGCACAAGTAGTAGAAAACAACGGCAACTATATTGTTGATTAAATTTTGTTGTATTGTTTAAATAAATTGGATTTCAAAAAAAGGTATTAGAAAACGACATTAATTATTACTAGACCTAATATTACACCTATGTTGGGTGTAATTTATTTTATAGATCAACTTACATTTATTTCCTCTATTCTATCCATGTAAAATTAGGTTTAAATTTTAAATGACTTTTTATTCATACAATTAGTAGTGTATAGGTTGATGAGGTTTCACAAACTGAATAATCTTGTGCAACTAGCAATCAGAACAAGAAGTAAAATTAGCATTATTTAGTAGAAGTAATGTTTCCTCTGCTGAGCTAAATAGCTAAATTATTTAATTTAGTGAGATAGTTTTTGTTGTTACCTGAGATATAGTTGTAATAGCTATTATTAATATCCCTGTTATTCATTCTTATCACATAATTTTGATTAGTTCACCATAGTTAATAGCAAAAAATTCAATTTTGCATTAAAAACTTTAATGTATACAACTATAAAATTTTTGGTCTATGTTCTCACCTTTAAGCAATGAGCTTTTTAAAAAAGTGAATATTTTAACATAACGTCTTGTTGTCTTTTATAGGGGATCTTCTCTACATTCATTCCGAGATTTTATAGAAGAAAAAAAATCCATAACTGGGCATAGTGCAGGAGATCATGTAAAAAAAGTTTGTTTTAAAGGAATTGAAAATCCCCAGGCTCCAAAAGTTGCAAGGTAATAAAATAAAACCACTATAGAAGATTTTAAGGTAGAAAATGTAAGTTTATGTTCTGAAATAATCTTTAAAATTTATGAGGCATATTTTTATACATTTGGAATTAACCAATTATATAAAATTACAATAAAGTAGACATGTTAATAATAAACTGTATATTCTTAAAGTACTGTATAATTGGAAGTTTTGGCATGTAAATATACCATTAAACCATTCTCACCAACCACATTGAATATAACTCATTCTCAGAAATTTTTTTCATTCCTCTTGGTAATCTCTTTCTCCCTCCCATGCAGTTACTAACCTCTTCTGTCAGTACAAACTAGCTTGTATATTCTGGAGTTTTGTGTCGATGGATTCATTCAGTATATATGTTTTTAAAAAGTTTTTTACTCAGCATATATATTGAGATTCATTCAAGTTGCTTTGTGTATTAATGGTTCATTACATTTTATTTCTGAGGAGTATTTTATGGATAGAAAACAATCTGAGTCTTTTGATGAACATTTGGGTGTTTCCAGTTTTTTTTGTCTAGCTATTTTTGATCCTGTTTTTTAAAGTCCTGTATGCTTTTAAAAGATGTTTCAAATTTTAAATGCATACATGCAATCTCTTAAATGTTTGTGTAACTACATTTAAGTGCCGATATTTTGTATCTGTTACACACATAATTATAAATGTTTTAAAATAGACCTGTCCTCAGAAAATTATAAGACATTGAAGAAAGGAATCAATCAAGATTAGTAATAAATAGAAGCATATACTGCACTCATGGATAGGAAGAATATAATTAAAATGTTCATAAATCCCCAAGCAGTCTATACAATCAACACAATTCCTATCAAAATACCAATTGTGTATTTTACAGAACAGGAACAAATAATTCAAAAATTTGTATGGAAACACAAAAGACCCCAAGAGAAATCTGAAAAGAAAAAAGTGGGAGAAATTACACTATCTGATATCAAACCCAGGCCTATACAGTCAGTTAATCTACAATGAAGGAAGTAAGAACATACAATGGGTTGAAAGACAGTCTGTTCTGTAAATAGTGTTGGGAATATTGGAAACATACATGCATAAAAGTGAAACTAAAACATCTTCTTACACTCTATCCTATATCCATTTGGAACTACCGGTCACTATGATGTGCACTGATCACCAGGGGGCAGATGCTCAACTCAGGAGCTGCAAGTGCACTCCCACAGCAGGAGCACTGCTCAGCCAGAAACTGGGCTCAGGGCTGGTGAGCGCAGTGTCAGTGGTGGGAGCCTCTCCTGCCTCTGTGGCAGTGCTAAGGATGTCTGACTGATGGCTTAGGCCCACTTCTCGTGGGGGGCGGGCCTAAGCCATCAGTCAGATGTACCCTGAGGGCTCCAGGACTGCGAGATGGCACAGGTTGGGCTGAGGGACAACCTCCCCCTCCCCCCCTGGGTGCATGAATTTTGGGCACTGGGCCCCTAGTACAAGAATAAATTCCAAATGGATTAAAGACTTAAATGTAAAATCTGAAACCATAAAACTCCTATAAGAAATTATAGGCAGTAATATCCCTGACATTTCTCTTAGCAACATTTTTTTTTTCTGACATAACTTCTTGGGCAAGGGAAACAAAATATAAACAAATGGGATTACATCAAACTAAATGGTTTTGCACAGCAAGGGAAACCAACAAAATGAAAAGGCAACATATTGGGTGGGAAGATATTTTCTAATGATATGTCAGATAAGGTAAAATGTATAAAACACTCAGATAACACCAGAAAAACAGCCGAGTTATAAGTGGGCAGATGACCCGAGTAGACATTTCTCCAAAAAAAAAATAGAGATAGCCAATAGACATAAAAGGATGCACAATATCACTAATCATCAGCAAATCAAAACCACACCTGTCAGAATAGCCATCATCAGTAAATCAACAAATGTTGGCAAGAATGTGGAAAAAAGGGAACCCTAGTGCACTGTTGATGGGAATGCGGATTGGTCCAGCCACTATTAAAAACAGTGTGGAGGTTTCTCAAAAGATAAGGAATTGCCTTATGACTCATCCATTTCACTTCACGGAATATATCCAAGAAACACTAATTTGAAAGGATATATGCAACCCTTTGTTCATTTCAGTGTTATTTATAATAGCCAAACTATAGAAGCAACCCAAGTGCCATCAATAGATAAGTGGATAAAAAAGCTCTGGTAAATATAAACAGTGGAATGCTACGTGGCCATAAAAAAGAGTGAAATCGGACAGAAAAATACAGCAGGTCCTCAGGTTATGTTGGAGATCATTCCTACGGCGCAACGTAACCTGAGCACTGCCTGTACCATATTATTTCACTTATATATGGAATCTAAGAACAAAACAGAAATAGACTTAGAGCAGACTGTTGACAGGGCAGGGGTTGGTGTGCTGCATGAAAAAAATGAAGGAATTATGAAGTACAAATTGGTAGTTATAGAATAATCATAGAGATGTATATTACAGTATGGGGAATATAGTTAATGCTATAATAACTGTAAAGTACATGGTTTTCTAACCACTGTGCTATATATCTGAAATTAATACAAAATAATATTGAGTATAAACTGTAGTTGAAAATTTAAAAAAAGTTATTAAAATATTTCATTAAGTACATCTATTCCAGGCAAAAATTTTTTAATTAGAAGAATTTTTAAAATTTGGTTATTCTCTGAATATAATATATAGTATTTTTTGTATAAGAAAAACTTAAGAATATCACTGGTTTTGTAAGATGTATAATGATTGATATCCTGTAGACCATCTTTTCAAATAGAAAGAAATATAACTTCTTTATTTGCCTACGATGAGACACACAAATCTGCCTCTATTAGTATTCAGCTTACCCTCCTTTTTTGTTTTGCAGTAGAAGAGTTATCCTTTCCATCTAAAGCTAATACTTATACCTTAGCTTCTATATTATACTTTAGAATAATTACACTTTACACTTCAGAATCCTTCAACTATGAATTAAGCCTCTCTTTTCTTGTGGATATACAGCCTTTTTCCTTTAAGTAGATTCTTCCCATTTGGTTTTGAATATGCTCAGGACTCTCATGTGGTCTGAGTAAGGTAATCAGCTCCTCACTCAATCCCCACACTTTCTTCTGGCACTTGTCCTATCATTACTAATCCCCTACTCCCTTCACAGACAAATTTCTCCAAAGAGCTGTCAGCTCCCACTCACTTCATAATATATTCTGGCTTCCAGTCCCATTGCTAAACAAACAATTCAGGCTAAGTTTATCAGTGACCTCCATATTGCCAACACCATAGACTTTTTATGTGACTCATTGTACTTGAAGTTCAATTACAGGTCATTTTCTCATATCACTTTACTAGAGGCCCAGTGGATAGATTTGTGCACTAGTGGGGTCCCTCAGCCTGGCCTGCAGACATCCCCAAGGGGTCCCACATTGCAAGAGGGTGCAGGCCGGACCAAGGGACACCAGTGGTGCACGATCAGAGTCGGGGAGGGACCGTGGGACAGCTCCCGGGCATGTCCAGCTCATCTCATCCAGTCCCCATTGGGTGGCCATCTTGAGTGAGGGCATGAGAGTCAGTTTGCATATTACCTCTATTATTATATATAGATCTCAAATTCATAAACTAAACTTTATATCTACTGCTGTCACCTTCATTCAGACTTGCTGTCCTTCACCTGGTCATCTGAGTAAGCCTCTTAACTGGTCCTGCAATAGCCTTTCTTCCTTTCCTTCAATATATTGAGCTAGTATGTTCTCTTTAAAATGCAGAATTGACTGCTCTTACGATAACAGCTAGAATTCTAGTATGCTCGTGCCAACCTCTTTATCTTTTAACATGATCTCTGTATTCTAGTCATCTTGGCCTTAGTTTCTCGAATGCCCTCTCTCTCTCTCTCTCTCTCTCTCTCAGTACAATTTTATTTATTTCAGAGAGGAAGGGAGAGGGAGAGAATCATTGATGGGCTGCCTCCTACCTGCCCCACGAGGGATCAATCCAGCAACCCCATCATGTGCTCTGACTGGTAATAGAACCATCACCTCTTGTTTTATAGGTCGATGCTCAACCCCTGAGCCATGTAGGCCGGGCCATTTCCTTCTTTTTATTTACCTACCTACCCCTTCACTCATTGACTCTTGACTTTCTTTCAGTCTCTGTTCAGTCACATTCTTTGGAAAAGTCTGACTTCCCTTTTTGGGTTAGGTTCCTGTTATATATGGCCTCAGTGCACTTCTCACTCATCACACTTTTCAGTAGGTCTCTGTTTTATGTTTTCTGCTGCAAGTATTTAATGTCTATATATTCAACTCTAGTTCAGTGACAGCAAGGAAGATTGATCTTTTTGCTCATCACCAGTACTTAGAATGTTTCCTAGCATTTAGTAGGAGCTCAGTGAGCATTTTGAATGACAGGAAAAATGAAATAAAATTATACCTCTGCCTCAAGTAATGTTTGTAATATAGCAAGTGATATTGTATTCCTTAGATGTATGAAGTATTAAGTTCATTTTTAAATATTTTAAATATTGCAACTATACATTAAAATTTCTTATTTTCTTTGGATAAATGTTTTTAAAATGTGCTTTGATTGATTTTAGAGAGAAAGAGAGAGGGTGGAATGTCAAAGAGGGTGGAATGTCAAAAATCCATTGGTTGCCTCCTGTATGTACCCCCATTGGGGATTGAACCTGGATTTGTGCTCTGACTTGGAACCGAATCCACAAACCTTTTGGTGCACGGGACAACGCTCAACTAACCTAACCAAATCAGCCAGGGCAGGGATACATATTTTTATAGAAGTCTAAAATTTTAAGGACATGTGATTTCATAGTTGATCACTAGAGTGTGCTATAACATCAGGGCTCTTAATTGTGAATGGTGTTATGTGCTATTGTACTATTTTGGAAATTTTAACGGAGTACATGATAGTATTATGTCATTCATATGTTGGGTAGAAGTGGAAATTGACGTTTTAAATAGCTAGGTGTTATCATTTGAT